CCTCCCCCCTAGAGCGGTACGTAATAATTTAGGGACAGCCGCAAATGGAATTTCAGCCTCTGAGCCCGGAACGGATAGTTACTCTGTTCAAAATCTGCCGAGATTTTTTATCTAATCATTGCAATATATCGCACGTCAGTTCGAGCACGTCACTTGAGCTTGACAAATCACCTTAAGGGTGTTATGTTCCTTTGCAATGATGGGACAACCTCCTTGCTGTCAAAAAATCATAGAAATATTTTCATGCATCCGTCCTGCGTGAGAGACAAAAGCGTGCTTCGAGCTCGTTTATGGAAGTATTCATCGAGACGAACGTAAAAACTCCGCGCCTGGCTGTTAGTTCGGAATTCATTTATCATGTGGTCCGCTTTGATATCATTTGGTCGAAACTCCGTTTATTTTCCCTTTGAATAATGCCGTTTAATCACGAGTGCTGGGGCCCCATCAATTCCGACGCAAATTGCCCATGCCCTACTTCAAACTTTTCTTCGTCGCTAAAAACGAGATCCTCTTTGGTCACTAACAAGACCCTTTGTGTCTATTTGCCTCCTGCAATATTAGCAGTCGTAACTCGGGCAACACTTTGGGAGTTGCCACTGCCGCTGAATTCCCAAGTAGCATTTTTCAATATAAAAGTTGCAACAAGTTGAAACAATGTTGGTATTTATTGCAACAAAGTTGCAACTTTCGGTCAACTTTTGGTCGATAAGTGCCGATTTTCGGCGATCTGATCGGAAGACAAAGTTGCGACCTGCTGAGATTGCAAAATTGCTGAATCAAAGTTGTTGATAATCTAAAGATAAGCAACCAGCAATACTTTGAAGTTGAAGCATGTTTCAACTCAATTGCAGCTAGTTCCAACAATGATAGCTCCTTTGGGGGAGAGAATAGTCAATCTGCACATCAATCTATTAGTTGCAAGAATCAAACGATTTTGTTGCAAGTTGTTGCAACCTCTGCTACTTGGGTTGGATTGAGTTTCCCGAGCAAACCTATTGACTTGTTAAGACCAGCATTAGTTAATTTCTTGGGCAACTTCTTCAGACCGAAAAATTCAAAGATTTTACACCGAAAAAATAAGAATGATGCTTTAAAATTCCGGATGTAAAAAAGTGTTCAACAACTCACAAAACGCTGAATTAATCGCCACGGCAGTTCAAAGATTGTACTACTTTTGTCGGCACATTATTCTCCTCTTTCCTATACACACACCGAAAAGAGGAAATTTATTTAACATTCTGGATGTGGAAAAAGTGTGCGAGAACTTAGAAAATGCCGAACTATACCCGCTACAGTAGTTACTTTAGCAATGACAAGATGTGAAACTAACTGCTGAGGGCGGTTAATTCAGCGTTGTGTAAGTTGTCGCACACATTTTTTATCTAGAATGTTAAATCAAAATCAGCATCCTTTTTTTTCGGTGTAGATCGTTGCAATTACATTCTTGTTCGTATTCTAAACTGAACAAGTTGTTTCAAAAAGGGAACAATGGAACGTGCTCATTTTTAGATGGAGCCCCAAAACTCTAATAATACTGGACAGTAGAGCCCCAGGTCCACTTGAAAATTAGCATGTTCCTTTGTAGAACCAACTCGCTCTCTTGGAAAAATAATAAAAAATTCACAGGGTAGCCTGTAATTGACAAATGGACTACATTTTGCAATTTGGAACTATGAATTCTAGCCCGGTTTGAAAACTAAGTATGTGGCATTAGCTTTCCTGTGCACATAAGTGTTTTTCCAGAAGAGCCAGAATTTATGGTTCCAAATTGCAAAATGCAGTCCAAATAAAATTCGTAAAAATTTTCATCTCAAAAATTATGTGGTGTTTTTCAAATGGAGATTTTTTTCTAACACCCCAATTCAAAGCACCTCAAGCTGAAATTCCGAATCGAGAATAAAAAATGATCCACAAAGCAACCAAACTAATCGAGTGAAAGAACGTGGGTAAGGTATCACACAGGAATGAAGGCAGAAAAGCTGTGGGTGCGCAAAAATTGACGTTGTTTCAGTAAAATCAGCCATAAGAGGCATTACATCGCTTGAGAGCCAATGAGAGCTGTACTTTTAAGTAAAATGGCGGCCTCTCCTCCCAATTTCTGACTTTAAAATATATTTGTTGTGTGCCCAGAACGCAGCCACGAGAACATGCAAAAAGATAGCACTTGCGGCAGTCTTGCCTAACACTAAGACCCCCGTTTTACAAAGTTGGAAATAAAATTTGTCGATTTTCAATCATTCAAACGATTTCAGGAAATCTATCGGGAGATTTAACAAAGAATGGAGGCTTTTTTCAACAAATTTTTCCGCTCAGACGCTGCTCAGGCCATTTCCGCAAAACTTCGTTTTTGCTCTTAGGTATGGCTCTCTTCACTATCACGGCAGTTCCATAGTTCATTTGGACACAAATCAATCAAAAGGAACTATATCCATAAAAACGTGAACCCTGCTATCGTTATGCATGTATTTCTATGGTTCTCAGAGCTCATATCAGACTGGATATAGTTCCTTTTGATTTAAATATGTCTACTTTAAGGTATTCTTGACATGAAAACGACTAGAAAAGTCTAGAAATCAGATTTTCATAATACCGTTGTTTTTTTCTTACATATTAGCATGATAATTTGTCTTGCAGACTCACCTTTGCGGGATAAGCAAACAGCATGGAGTCCAGTGGATACCATCGCCCAGGAGGTAGAGTTGGGGCCCCCAATTTACTTGGAGGAACAAGTCTAGAAACGCGCAATCAAGTTTTGGATTCTGCATCAACCTGACCCAGGATTAGACCCAAAGCTCTAAATGAATGGCAATCTGGAAAGTCTATTCATATTTGTTCCTTCAGTCGTCAAGCACCTCTACAATATTTCAGGCGTACAAGTTCATTAGGCAAGACGTTCTCTGCATGAATTGATTAAGATTTTAAAAAATATACTGTATAAATCAGACTCCGTAAAAACTTTGAATAAATATTTTAATGTTCTTACATGTTCCCTAGTTGTAAACGTCATATAATTCAATGCTATTAGTCAAATAACTGTCTAAAATTGTTTATAGCACTTCTGTGAAGTATTTGAGAGACTGTTGTAATCAATATTTCGCGAGGATGAAGTGGGGAAGTTACTTTCTGAACAACTCTCGCAGTGAGAGACCGTCCAAAAGGAGAATCCAAAGATCTTATATTTAAAAGGAGTTTTAAAATATTAGGAGTAATGAAATAGCATACTGCTCAAAAGATAAACGAGAATCTTGAAAAAAAAAGAGAAAAAAAAATGACACATGGTTAAATGGCGCTTCATTAATTCCATACATTCTTGCAGATCCTTCCAAATAAAAGATAGGTACCTACACTGGAAAAAAACACCTTGGATCTAGAGTCCAGACTTTAGAAAACGCATTGACAAGAAAAAGGACTCTTGATTCAATCAGCTTTAAGCTTAAATCAAAAGGAAATCCGCTCAAATTAAGAGGCTTGGTACTTGATTTAAGCAAAAGTCCGATTGAATCAAGAGTATTTTTTCTTGTCGATGTTTTTAAAAGTCTGGACTCTAGATCCAATGTGTTTTTTTTTTCCAGTGTACAACATTTGCGTTAATACCATAGAATACATATAATTGGGCAAAAGTTTGCAATAAGGCATTATTATTTGTACCTAAAAACACCTATCTGAATAGGGAAACTAAGGACACATATTTTATTTCTTAACAGAGCCAAAATTAGTAATTCTTGATTGCAGAAGTTGCTCCATTTAAAATGGATTCGGCTTCTTGAAGAGTCTACTATTAGCATCAATGTGGAAAGGTTCGCTATGTTTTTGAACTTTGGTTAGTCTAGTACAAATATTTTGGTGTGGATTTTTTTCTCCAATAATTAATGGGAAAATGGTGGTTGTTATTTTGGATTTCAGTGTGCTTTTCTTAAACTTGGTGTCCAGTTGACAATACACAGTGAATAAAGTTCAGGAAAACTTTCGAATAAAAAATATTGGTTCTCATCGATGAAGTTTATTATTTTAAGTAAAAAGTATTAGCCAAAATTTAACAGAGTTACAATCAATTACATACTTTTCAAGAATCATTTGGACAAAATATGGCACAATCCTTAAGGCTGACGTCCATACACGCCCTTTTGCAGGAACTCGTTAGTTAATGGCATACAATGTAGATCCAGTGTGATCCAGATGTAAATGGTAGATCCATATGAAAATATTGCAAAGTTACAGCTAAAAACTAATTTCTCCATTCATTAATGGGTGAATATTTTACTTTTATATTAAAAAATCCATGTAATACGCTAAACAAAACGTAAATGTGCTAAGAAAATTTAAAGAGTATTTGCAATCAATCTTGAGTAAATATTCAGAGTCTCTGAGCCTCTGAGAGTTATCTCTCAGAGGAGGTACCTATACAGTCAATTTTTAGACGTGCGCTCTTTTAATCGCTTGCGACATTTTTTTTTTCAAAATGATAATTAATTAGGGCACATCCTATTTTCGGCTTTGTTGCTCACGTAGCTCTTGAAGCACCACTACAAATGAGACTAACGAAACTAACGCAATATGGAAATAGAGCAAACGGAAAGACGGCGCAGAGATACAACTATTCGTGCTTGCTGGATGTCCGTGTTGCATCTGCAAAATTGAAGGCGCCATGGCACGAGCTGTGAATCCATAATGTACCGCAGCTCCGCTTTATGTTGCCAATGAGGTGTCGTGAGAAAAGTTCAGAAACGAGGCTCGATTACTACGGCTCACCTAGCACGGTTCGTTTCAGAGGGAGGTAAATAAAATAGTGTTGCCCACTCAAAATTCCTTCGGGATCTTGAAGTAGGATGAATTCACAGTCATTTAAGCCTAAAATGAAAATATTCTGTCGAGCTCTTCGAAAATAAAATCGATTTTTGTGTTTTTGGCGCTAAAATGGCCTTCAAAAACGATCAATGATTCAATTCCGATGGGTTGTGCATATGCAAAATGGTACATGTATGATGAAATCTACGTATTTGTGGACCAGAAATCGATTGAGCGGGGTCCCGAATCGGTCCGAAGCTTCATTGACCGAAAAATGGGCCTTTTTGGGGATTTTAGGGATGTTTTGGGCCCATTTTTTCCCAATTTTGTCTTGAGAAAATCTGTGCCGTCATGGGTATTGATTATTAGGTAATTTCGGGCGAGATATCGAATGCGCTTAGTCACGAGTCAATCCGGGGCTTCCTAATCCAAGAATACGCAGTAGGCCCAGGTGGAGCTCCGGAAGAGCTTTGAAAATATTTTTTGTCTTTTATGTTCAAACTGGATGCTGAAATTGGCCTTTCTTTGACTATAAAATGAGACTCCTGAATAAGTAAGTTGTGGTTTGTGTATGAGGAATATTTCTCTTTCATGATACTTGGACAAATTTTCCAAATACATATTTCTCTGATCATGAGATCTAGTTCAATTTCTAGTGCTGCAACGTAACAAATCAATATCAATCACGAGATATCCAAAGGAATACATCCACCAGCGGTATCAGCGGTATTCCTATCAATAATTTTTATTTCGACCGAGAAAATATGCCGTACACATCAATTTCTCTTTTTCAAAGACCTTCCGACGAGAAATCGTATGCGCTTTATGAAGAGACGGTATAAATTTGGACTCGAAAAATGAACTCCTCTTGTGAATTTATAATATTTATATATGCAGAATAACTATTTTCCCTCCTTTTTCGGTCAAACAAATAATCTTAACCCAACCAAGCCGAGAAAAATTTTTCGGCCTAAGAAGCCCCGGAGTGACTCGGGACCAAGCGCATTCGATTTCTCGCCCGAAATTACCTAATAATCAATACCCATGACGGCACAGATTTTCTCAAGACAAAATTGGGGAAAAATGGGCCCAAAACATCCCTAAAATCCCCAAAAAGGCCCATTTTTCGGTCAATGAAGCTTCGGACCGATTCGGGACCCCGCTCAATCGATTTCTGGTCCACAAATACGTAGATTTCATCATACATGTACCATTTTGCATATGCACAACCCATCGGAATTGAATCATTGATCGTTTTTGAAGGCCATTTTAGCGCCAAAAACACAAAAATCGATTTTATTTTCGAAGAGCTCGACAGAATATTTTCATTTTAGGCTTAAATGACTGTGTATGCATCCTACTTCAAGATCCCGAAGGAATTTTGAGTGGGCAACACTATTTTATTTACCTCCCTCTGAAACGAACCGTGCTAGGCTGTGTTGCTCCTACATCCTTTAAAGCACTGCTACAAATACAAATAAGACAAACTGAAACAAACACATTATGGAATTAGAGCAAAGTAAAAGCAGGCGCGTTGATGACGGCGCGGAGATACAACTATTCGTACATGATGAATGTCCGTGTTGCATCTGCAAATTTGAAGGGGCGATGGCGCTGGGCGTGAACTCGCAATGCTATGCTGTCAGAGAGATGTCGCTTGGATTCGAGAAAAAAATTAAAAAACTAGGCCTCATCACTTTACGACCCTTTAGCCGGCTAAGAGTCAACGCCCTGAGATGTGAGCCAGACCGACCCTGGCAATTTATAAATATTGTCATTTCGAGTGTTTTGCACGTTGCACTGCAAATAAAAGCACTCTCGCTCTTAAGTCTTACTTCTTCGATTGCTGGATTACCATGCTAAGAAAGAACGTCCTACGAACCTACAAATGTTTTCAAATTTCCCAGATAAATTATGTATTTATGAGAAAAGGTATGAATACTTTTCCTTGACATTTCTATAAACTTCAGGTTAAATTGCGAACAAAATTTTCTTAAAAATTGGAGGAAAATTACTCATGAATTTACCAAGAAATCTGTTTTATCAAAGGAAATTTGGCAACTTTTGAGGCCTCATGCGGCGTTATCCTGTAGGACGACAATAAAGATCAATCTCTTGCCTCCGCGTGATTCGAACAACGATAGCTAAATGGTGAAACTACGTAACTCCATTTCGGAGATTAAAAATCATTGATATTTTATTTTTTTGAAAGGAAGCGAGTCAAATACATAGCTTGAAATCTCTAGGGAATATTCTGCTCATAGAGAAAAAATATCAAGGAGGTTTTCAAGATTATAAGTTGACTGATTTTTTTTAAAAAAATAATAAAGTGTGACTGGACGTCTACGACGGAAACGGAGATACGTGGTTTCGCAATTCGGCCATCGATAATTCCGTCATGCTGGGGTCTTACTAGATCAGTTGTATCGAACAAGATCCAAGAAACATTCTTTGGTGCTTCCAAATAGAGTTAATCAACTGTGGAGCACTCGATATTCATATTGACGTGCGATTAATTTAGCATAAAGTGGTCCGATATCGCACAGATATCGAGTATTCAATAGGGATCGATTAACTCTCATTAAAAGCATCAAAGAAGTTTAGCTTGGATCCAATTCAACACAGTCAATTGTGCCAAATCGGATCCAAGCACAGCTTCTTTCAATGATTTCAATGAAAGTTAATCAATACCTATCGAATACTCGATATTCGTTGTACCTCGCGACTAATACAGCATTTAGTGGTATTGTATCACACAGACATCGAGTATTCGATACGTATCAACTGACTCTCTTAAAAACCATCAAAAGAGGTAAGGTTTGGATCCGATTCAACAAGATCAATTATATCAAATTGGATTAAAGCATAACCTCTCTCAACGCTGTCGATGAGAGATAATAAATACCAATCGAATACTTGCTATTCGTTGTGACGCACGACTAGTATTGTGTCTAGTAGTCAGGGCCGGACTAAGGGGGTGGCCACACGGGCCATGGCCCATGGCGGCAAATTTAGGGGGCGGCAAATATTGTACTTTTTTCAAATGTAGGTATTAAGAAAAAAATCTGATTCAGAAAAAAAATCACAAATGAGGAAAGGCGAAAAAATATATCATATCCTGAGAGTTAAACTATAGTAATTTCTAATTTGTTCGTCTTTCGGTGACACAAGAGACAGCACCTTTCATTAGTCTAGTTGAGAGAGAGACCATACACGCAATTTGGCCTGGAGCGGCACGGCGCAGAGAGCAATGATGGCGAGAATGATGAGCAATGATGGAAATGAGAAGCCCTATCGGCGCACCGGTCAGCATGAAACACGTATCAGCGCTTACAGAACTCCAGGAATACTTCACGCATTGCGTCAAACGTAGTGCGGTAAGCAGCGGTTGGCGTGAAACTCATAGTGCCTACAAGACTGCATGAATACTTCACGCATTGCGTCAAAAACAGTGCAGTCACTTGGTCAGCAGCGGTCAGCGTGAAACGCATAGCGCCCTACAAGACTGTAGGGATACTTCACGCATTGCGCCAAACACAGTGCGGTTGGCGCGGTAGCGAAAATTAAGCTCATTAGACCACACTCATGTTTATTCTTATTCATAATTTTTTCGTTATTTTCTCATAAATGAAACGAATCGTCCACACAGAGATAGGTCAACGGAACTTAATTTGCGAGCAAAGTTCCGTGAACTTTTGCTAGTGTTGACAAGGCTTTCACGAAAAATGTGCCAAACGCGAGTAAACGCGTCTCCTCCTCCGGCACGCTCGCCTGATGGTTTCTATGGATATTTCAAAACGAATGAGATGGGGCGGCAAGAAGGTAAATCCGGCCCTGCTAGTGGTCGTATATCACTAAAATATTCGATAGGATTCGATAGGTATCGATTAATTCTCATCAAGAGTATCAAAAGAGGTTAGGTTAGAATCCAATTCGACACAATCAGTTGTATCAAATTGGATCAAAGGATAATCCTCATCAATGCTGTCGATGAGAGTTCATCGATGCTTACCAAACATACGATATCCGTATGATGTGAGACCAATAACACCTACGGACAAACGAATTCCACGTGCTCGTTTTCGCACTGTGTTTGATTGTGTGCCGGTAAGAGAAGCGGTATGAATGGAGGTAACCAAGCAACGGAAATAAACGATCGATGCATAATTCAAATTCCTCAGCGCCGGAGGTCGCACCACACCGAGGTCCGCGTCGCGAAAATTCCGCCGACCGCAACGGCCGCATGCCGTCCGTCCCGACGTGATCCGCAGTGCTCCCGCCTTTCGACGTCATGGCGCCAACGTGCAACCTTTTCAAGTCAGGTACGTCCTTCCGGTTCCGAATCTCTTCTCCCAGAATAATGTCTGCTATTAACACTGGTGGAAGACGGGTTTATTGATATATACAATAAACTCTTCTAGAATAATGTGTATGATCACGGAAAAAATTGACTGTTGCTTTTGCATTTATAATATTTAAAAAATGTGCGACAGTTATAAGTGCTGATTTCACAATAAAAAAATACTTGGTAAACGGTGTCCACCGTTAAGTGACAAATTCAATGTTGAGTTAGCGATTTTTTTATGTAAAATCAGCATTTGATACTTTGTCACACATTTTTCTAACAATATAAATGCTGAATCAACATTCAATTTTTCCGTGATAACGGCAGGATTTTTTATCATTTAATGTCTCAGATGTGAATTTAGAAAAAGAAAACTAGTTTTAGTATTATCTACTTTATCAAGACTATTAATGTTGATATAATGGGTGATGTAAATTTGCAAGTGTCTTAAATTTTGTAAATACCATGTTTAAAATTAAACTACTGAGAGAAATGAGCGTAAAGATGTCCTCGGTTTTTAATTTGAACATATAATGGGGGAAATATGACAAAATAGCCTAATCTGCGAAAATATATGTGATTAAATGACTTAAATGAGAATTACCGCCAGATTTCGTCACAAGCGGCACATTTTCGCACTTTCAAATCCCTTTTTCTACAATTTTCCGTTTCAGAAGAAAATTATGAAAAACACCGCTAACTCAGTTCATGAAGCACTCTCAAATGAAGTGATAACATTTTTGGGTGCAAATTCTCTACATCGTTATGGAAAATATTCAAAAATTAAATATTCATTTAAATATTCAATCTCTAATTTTAGATTTAATAATATTATGCTTGATAATTACTTCTTTACCTAAACTGGTTTTGACGGTTTTCATTGTTATAACTGGATTATTGTTTACCATCGCAAAATTTACAAAAATCCAAGGATGAAAGGTTTAATTATTTAAATTTTCATGGATTTTAATATTCTATTTGATATTGACACTCCGTAGATCTTACTCGGCCATGCTCAAAAATTCGGAAAAAAGTTTGACTCGCGGTGAAACGGGTATAGATTCCCTTAATTTTTTTAAAAATGGAAGAAAAAAAATAGTTTTGAAATCGCGATGACACAAGGCGTAAACTCGCAATGCTACGCTTTATCCTGCCAATAAGGTGTCGCTCAGATACGGGAAAACAGTTAAATACGAGGCCAGATTTCGTCTCTCATATCTATCCTCGGCTGGGTTGCTCAAGAAGTCCTTGATGCACTACTACAAATAAGTCAAAAGAACCGACACATTCTGGAAATAAAACAAGGCAAACGATTCGCGTTGCTGACGGCGCAGAGATACGACTATTCGTGCTTAATGGATGTGCATGTTTCATCTGTGAAATTGAAGGCGCGATGGCGCGAAGCGTGAACTCGCAATCGCAATGCTCCGATCTAAGCTGACAATTTTCAGCTGTATTGGTTAGAACATCTTAAAACTAAGCATGTATCTTAAAATGATTTTCTTGACGGTAGTTCACATCACACACATTCAAGTATACGGAAAACATAAGTTTAAAATGATGGGAAAAACTGAGAAAATCTTGTGAAAATGAGACAAGGTCCTAAGGCAACGAAGTATTTACGATAAATAATCAAATTTAGGTCATTTTTTTAACTTTACAGTTCATAATTTAACTTATCTTTCACCGGCCAAGCAAGTGGCTGTTGACCAGACATATTCTTCATCAATTCACGAAATTTAACAATTTTATTAATTCTAACAATTCATGTTCGAAACTTGAATTGATGCTATTCTGGAATCCTTTTCCGATGAAGCTACTTCATTTGGCTTAGATAAACCATTCAAAGAGGGCGTTTAATTTAGCTTCGTGTTATTTTCAAATATGTAGGCTTTCTGTTCCGACCTTTGGGAAAGATTTCTAAGGAATTAAGATTTAAATCAAATTGTCCACAGCAGGCTAAACGCTTACTCAATAACACTAACGTTCAGAGAGAGAGAATAAAATGAATCGTTCGCGGTCAGCATGATATTCACTGAAAGTGTTGTGAGGGGAAAGGGGCTAAGAACGGCGAAAGATTTTGCCGATCAAATACGTCTCGCTCACCATCAATCAATTATCTCTTTCCCACTGATTCTGACAAAATCATAGCAGGTTATCAGTCAATATCTTGTCAATACCATTCAGCAGAGAGTACACTAGAGAGTTCCCTAAAAACATTTGGACTACTTTTTGCAATTGAGAACTACAATTTCTGGCTCATCCATAAAAATACTTACGTGCATAGGGAGACTAGTGGTACAAACGTTGATTCTAGATTGAACCGGAAATTGTGGTTCCTCCTCGAAAAATGTAATCCATCTGTCGAATTGGAAATCAACGTGAAAATACTTACACAGCATTTAACTTCCTGGCCTGGCGTGCTTTGATATTCCAGTATGTTAAGGAACTGCATGACTGGTTCAAAGCTTCCAATGACAAACAATGTTGTGAGCCGATTTATAAATATCGTATCTTGAGAGCCAGCCTTAAGTTTTGCCGCATAGGAGTGTGAATTGTTACATTTTCGAAAAACGCACAAAATCCGGCACAGAGTCCCATTGTCAGCTACTGTTTTTGATTGAAGCTTTAAAGTATGATAAAGTAGTGCGATAAGTTCTCTTACCCTTCTATCGGTTGCGATGGGAAATTCGGCAAAATCGGGGTTTTTACTTTGTGAAGTTGCCGTAAAAACCACGCGTTTTTCGTAAAGTCGCGGCAATTTATACGTATGGAGCCATGAAAATGTTATCTTGTTGTCTGGGGGAAAATGGCTTTTTAAAATGGCAAGTCCAATTTGAATAGTGGGAAGGCTATGAACTTTCTGCATCCCTAGGATTATACATTGTGGTCATCGTCATCATTCATCATTCAGTAGAGGTTGAGAAAACCTATAACTCGAAGTATAAAACAAGCGGAATGGAACAACAAATATAGCGAGTGCCTTTGACGAGAAGGAAAAAAGCAAATGAGGAGCGTTTGCGAGGATTGCCTCGGATAGATATTGCATGCCAAGAAAAAGGTTCGTGGTTTGAAAATTACCCCTCTGCCTTTCACAGGGATTTAGACAGCACGAAGTTATGTGCCATCTCCTCTGCAATTCTGCATGCTCGCCTCTAGACATCCTACCGCCGACACCTATCAAAAGTGTCTCCACAGTTGCCGAGTTCATATTTCAGGGCAAACTTCGTGTTTTGATTCGTTCTGACAAAACACTGACACGACCTGGGCAGAATTTTGTCGGCTCTTTCACACGGAGGTGTAACATCCGTCGATGAGTCCAAATCGCACCACCGGCCAATCAGAAGCGCTAAATCGTATTTAAAAGCAGTCGAAATTGGGGCCGAATTTTGTCGGTCCTTTCACCGTACTTAAATATACTTCGGACGGGTCTCGACTGCACTTAAGTCCGGCCTAGCGCTTCTGATTGGCTGGTGGTGCGGTTTGGACTCATCGATGGATGTTGAACTCCGTGTGAAAGAGCCGACAAAATTCGGCCCCGGATCCTATGTATATTTAATTATTTAAGTACGGTGGAAGGACCGCTAAAAGTCGGCCCCTGCGGGCGTCACATTGGATTAAGAAGTGGGCATATGAAGGAATTTTTGAGCCTACCCTGAATTTCCTCAACTCTATAATTTTCTGCTCATTGAAGATCTGTATTTTACGAGGTGCATCATAATTTGGTCATTTTCGGTCTCTTTTCGAGCCTAATAAAAGGCGAATTTGGCGAAAAATACGCGTTTTGTAGATTTGCAGTCGAATGCCGAAAAATCCGATATTTCGCCAAAATCTGAAACCTATGACCTAGATCTTTGCTTAGGCCAGTATTAGACCCAAAAAGAAACTGGGAATGACCAAAACATGATGCATTCCATAAAATATAGACCTCCGATAGGCAAACAATCGTAGAGTTGAGGAAATTCAGTTAATGGGGGGACCAAAAACGAAGATACCCTTCCTTTGTAAAAAAAAAAAAAAAAAAAAAAAAAAAAAGTCAATATACATCCTACATCATGTATTGTCAAAAAAACATAATCATTAAGATCACCTATAGATACTGATTATGAATCTTATTTGATCCATAATTGTATGAAACATAATTTTCTTCCTTGAAGAATCCGGGTAGGGAGGGAGTGTAGCTCCGAGAGGAAGCGTTCTTTGGATAAATGCTGCGCTCCATGAAAGTATAATTTATTCCATCGAATGAATCTTTTCATGGTAACCTCTTAATTAAAGCTAGACCACATTTAATTTCCTATACTTGCAGCATGAACGACAAGGGCGAATCATGTATACAGAGAAAAAGTTGTTCAAGGCTATACTTGTAGCGAAGATACCATCTACCTACCTTGCGAGGTTTACATTGCCGTGCTAAAGAAGAACGACGTATGAGCTTCTGGGCGTTATCAAATTTCGCTCAATTGAATCTAAAATTTCTGGGAAACGTGCACATTTTATAGACAACTTCATGCGCAATTTAAGACGACATATCTGAAAATGTCACGCACAGATAATCATGCCTTCATAAAAATAATAAATATTTTATGGAGGAATATTTTGGCAACATGTGATTATTCTTGTGACGTTTCTCCTTGGCACAATGATGAAAAATTGGAAATTTGGAACACTGTAGTCAGAGCTTTTGTTTTTATCTTTCCCTGCTACCTAACAGCAACGATTAACGTGAAACCTATTAGCGACTAACGTGAAAATTAGAGAAGCACACGAAGTTTTTACTCTAAGATTTCACCTCGCCCAATCGGGTAACACAGCATTTGAACCTCTTCCGATCTAAGTTTCCCAACTTCAGTTTCATTACTTTCTTTTCTACTTCTTACATACTTTACTGACTTCCGTCCTCATATCAACGGAACTATCTAGCACGATTCTCCACGATCACGAACATGCCCTCAGCAGGTGAGTGATAATACCGACCACTTACATAACTCGAATAACCAGGTCTATGGAAAAGATTTATCTGTGCTATTCGAGCCTTCTAAGCTTCGTTATGTCTTTTTAAATAATTGAGATGACACTCATTTACATTCAGCAATGGTGGTTTTTAAATTAGACACAGAGACATATGTGACGTTGTCAGAATTAGAAATCCGGTGACATACTTACATTGCATTGCAGACATGCAAGAGCTACATATTTGTATGTGCTCAACCTGCGGGCTGTCTTGCTGTTTATTGTTTTCCATGAACAAAGCTATAGACAAACGAGACGGAGAGAATGAAGCGATCCTATTGGTGGAAGCGCATTGTTTCCATGAATTAACAAACGACGACCCCCGGGAAATCCTAAAACTAGAATCACTTCCCCCCGTGGTCTATAAGAACAACCCGTTTCGACCGATGAGATTGCTCGATTTTCTCTTTGTCTTCTTTGTCTAGCGCTATGTCTATTAATTCCAATAATCAGCTCGCTGATTTTGTAAAGGACTATAAGGAAAATAAATATTAGAAACCTGTGCAGAAGACTCGCGAAACAGAGCTTCGCAATTTGACTCGACTTGAAATGGTGTAGGCTGTGCCACACCTGACTTCAAACGTAATTGTATGAGAGCTCAAAGCGCCTTCAATTCGTTTGAACGCAACATACACCACGACCAAGGCAGAATAGTTGCATCCATTGCAACAAGGTGTTACTAACAATGTCGCCGGTAGGTGGAATTGGTCGAGGCGTTTAATGGCAGTGACCTCCATTTCTGCCCCTTTAAACGGAAGAGGCTCTCCGACTTTCATGCACGAACCATGCCATGGTAATTATGCAGAGATACTCTAATTAATCTTTTTAATGGGAGAAAAGTTCCATAGAATATCTGACATTGATTCTCCGACATCAAGTAATCAGTAAAAACGCTTCCGAACTTCAAATCCAACCCATCTTTTTCACCAGTAAATAAGTTCTTTTAAGGGGCATCATTTCATCCATATCTTAAGGAGGATGGGGGAGGGTGAGAGGACAAAATAGGGGTGCAGAAAGTTCTTCTGCCGACGCAGTTTCGAGCAACCAAGGATTCAGTCTACTTGCTATGACATAGCGCGTTCGTAGTAATTTTCACCAAAAATATCACGTTCCTAGCAGTGGCGTGGCGTGAATTGCGATGTATCGATTGTCATGCCGTTTATACCTATGGAAAAAATCGATAAACAGGGCGTTCGCAGCGAACACCTTAATAATCGATTCTTTACCATAGGTTTAAATGGCATAAAAATCGATAAATCGTAATTCACGCCACGCTACTGGTTCCTAGTAATTCTCTAAAAATTAGACCCGATCGCATTAATGATCCACAAATTCGACGCGCTTCTACCTCATTTTTTGTATAAATGGGTCCGTTCGTACTAATTTTTACAAAATATCAACATACTTGTTATAACCTCTCTTAAAAATTAATGCGTTGAGTGTTCTCTCTCTAGAATAAAACCGATTTCTTGATTCGTGAAATGGAACGCTCACTTCATGTAACCGATCTTCTTTCATCAGTTCATTGAACGTCATAAGTGCGGTTATACGAACTGCAGGTTGAGTTTGAGGAACCGTATTGTTGAGATGGTATAGAACACAACGCCCTCCTTCAATTTATGGATATGCAATTTTACCCTCTTGAAGGTCAAAATAGTATTCTCTCGTTTTCCGCCCCCATCCAAGTTTTCTACACATGCGTTAAAGTCTCCGATTCAGCCGGAGAGAATTCAAGTTCGCCTTCATTTCGTGGATACGCAATTTTACCTACTTGGAAGTCGAAATAGTTGTATCACGTGTTTCGCCCCATCCAACTGTTCTACTCATGTGTTGAAGTCTCTGAGTCAGCCGAAAAGAATTTTGTCTCTGAAAAAAATTCACGTCCTCCTTCATTTCGTGGATAAGAAATTTTATCTACTTTGGAGTCGAAATAGTTTTATCGCGCGTTAAACAAAAGTTAAACAAAAATATCACATCGGAGAGAAAATTTTTCATTGGATGAAGGTAATTTAATTATTTATTTTGAATTCAAATGAAGTTTTTTCAATTCGAATGACATTTTTTCAATTCAATAAAATTGACTTTGCCCCATTTTTCTAATTACCATCCTGGCAAACTAGTTTTAGGCCAAAAGATTTTTTTTTTTTTCAAATCAAAGACGGATTTTCCCCCTTCACTGGGAAAAAAAGTCGCTCGGATCTAGAGTCCAGACTCATGAAAACATTGACAAGAAAAAATACTCTCGATTCAATCGGATTTTTGCTTAAATCCAGAACCAAGCCTCTTAATTTAAGCGGATTTCCTTTTGATTCAAGCAAAAATCCGATTGAATCAAGAGTATTTTTTCTTGTCATTGTTTTCAAGAGTCTGGACTCTAAATCCAAGCGACTTTCTTTTCCGGTGCTCATTTAAAATCATGCTTTTTCACCATTTTTCAAGTAAAATTCCCACTCAGAATGAGTTTTCTTTACTATCTCGCCACATAATGCGTCCACGGTTGTTCCCAGATAAATATTTCGGTTCGAACGCTCAATTCCGCGAGAGCTTGCGGAGGCCGACACCTGGTCCGAACCCGACGAAGCGAGCGGCATCGTACCCTCGCGTGGTCCCCGCGTTCACGATCCAGGCTTACCAAAGGAACACAGTCACGGACGCACCTCCCAAGAGCAAAAGATCCAGACAGCACAAAGTTGGCAACACAGCATTCAGGAAATACTACGCAAGAGGCGACTTCCCGATATCCATGGAGTTCGATACGTACGGCAACAAGATCTCTTGGAAGGTGAGAGTAGAGATAAGGATAAAACATAAAACTAAAATTAAAGGGTCAAACATTATAAAGACAACTAAGAAAGTCAGGAATTTCAATCAGTAAAATAATTTAAAATAAAACACTAATTCTGAAAATTACACGGAAAAAACGATATAGTTCTGAGCACTAACTGTTTAGATCAAATGGAGCCAGCTAGTGTGGCAGAGTAGTGCTGAGCCCTACGACATTAGGGTCCAGATTTACAAACTGTAGGCCTCAGCAGGACTGTGAGTGCTGCCATATCAGCTGGCTCCATTTTATCTAAACAGTTAGTGCTCGGCACTATATCGGTTTTTTCGTGTAGAAATAGTTATATTTTTACTGATATTTTAACCTAAGGAAGGTTCATTTGAGTTTCATTTTGAGGGCAAGCAACCTGCCCTCCCAAAAAGCACAGGTTGCGATACCTAATAAATTGCAATGATTGAATTGACAATTATTGCAATTGTATCGGAGAATGGGCCTGTTGTAAACTTCAGCTAGAACAAGGAGAAGAGTAGTATCTCAAGGAAAATAGCTTAAAAATCACGATGAGCGCATCGACAAAGTCTGAAATGCACTCCTAACTTCACAATTTGTAGAGTCCCTTTAAACTGAGAGTCAAGACAACACCCCTCATGGAGTCACAAACGGGAATAAAAATTACAGAAATTGAACGCTCTTTGTAATCTTTGATCGGCCCATTCTTAAATTCCTTTCTCCGTTCCTTCTCTCATTCCGTTTGTTCCTTGCCGAACCCGTAATTCCCTGGTCCATTCCAGATTATAATCTTTGCAATCGGTGAAAATGTAATCTTTATTCCTGTTTGTGACACTGTGAAGGCCTAAAATACGGGAACCAATCAGAAATGGATTCACATTGTCTTGACTCTCAGTATAAAGGGACTCTAACAATTTGCGTAAGAAATTCACGCATTTTTTGAGCTTCCCGCTTCAAAAACGATACAAGTGAACATTTCATCGGAGGAGCCGTCCCTTCCAATCCCTGCAGTAGAATTCTGTACAATATTCAACATGGCCGACGCCAATCGATCAAAACTGGCCAAAACTCAAATGTGCCGGAACGAAATTCTAATCATTTGTTAACAAGTTGGCGTGTTTACATTCCCGTTTTCCTCGCGTTGATTTAAAGATCCGTCTTGATAGCGTCGCTTATGTTGAGTATTGCAGAACATTCTAGCGCGCAATGGTTGAATGGAACGACTCCTCTAACGAAATGATCACCTGTACCGTATAGTTTCGGGTTTGAAGCGGGAAGCTTAAAAGAAAGTGAATTTCTTACGCAAATTGTGAAGTTAGGAGTGCATTCCAGAGTTTGCCGATGTGCTCATCGTGATTTTTGATCCATTTTCTGTGAGAAACAACTCCTATTCAGCCTTTTCTTCAATAGAACAAGGAGGGTATTAGTATCTCACAAGGAAAACGGCTCAAAAATCACAATGAGCACATCGGGAAAGTCTGAAATACACCCCTAACTTCACCATCTGCGTAAGAAATATGCGTTTTTTTTGTTTTTTTTTAAGCTTCCCGCTTCAAAAACGATACTATGCCGAAGGTGAACATTTCGTAAGAGGAGTCGTTCTATCCAACCCTCGGGCCCTAGAATGTTGCATAATATTCAACATGACCGACGCAAACCAAAACACAAGTGACGAGACGGGATTTTATCAACCGTTAATGTTTACAGTTTTCTTGTGTTGATAAAGACCACGGTACCTCCTCACGATTTGCGCGTGGAAAAGACACGTGGGTGAATTCAAATAAGGGTCAAATTCCAGTTCTATTTCCTCCCAAAAATTTTTTCTGAATTTTTGGGCAAACCAAACTTTATTTTGACTATCATTAGGTGTAGACTTCGGAAATATAGCTCGTCGAGCTTAATAGTTGGGCTTAAACCCGAATTTCCACCGTCAAGTGTATCACTTCCCAAAATTTGCCGTAATTTTGCCTGATTTCCTAAATTTTCATCTCAGAGGTGACATATAATACTTTTAATTAAAAATTGAACACAATTGTCATAAAAGCATCGTCGAGCACTAAATTAAAGCATAATTGAAAACATGTAACCCTTTCATATCTTGCAGAACCAAAAAAATTAAGAAAAAATTCATCCGTTATGAATGATATCTGGAGCTTATTCTGCTCGTCGTTTAGACAGTTCCGTCTGTTTATCAAAATGCGCACTGTTTTCGTTTCACACAAGAAGAAGCTTTTATTTCTTGGAATATTGCAATACAAAATAGATCAAAAACACCGAATTTTAAAACTTCGAGTGGGCGTGTACCCGCTGAAGTGGTGATAAAGCCAGGAAAAGTTTGAGGACTTACTTACATTAATATAACAATTACACCGATCAACTTTTTTTTTTTTTTTTTTTTTATTTTTTATTTTCCGAAGATTTGCCAATGGTTTCAGAGTAGATTTTTGGCGCTGATTCTGAAGAACACCTCCATTTACCTGTATCGATGCGATTTATCCTGGGAAAGTTCGGAATTTTTCCGGAGAAATCGGAATTTTCCTTAAAAATCTAGCTTTTCCAGAAGAGTCAATTTTCCGGGAGAATCTGTGCACGATGGAAAAAACGCAGGAATTTTTCGATTTCGTAGCCTAAGATACATAAAAAACCCTATTGCACCCCTATTAAAATTTCCTTTCTTTTCCTTATACCATGGTTTTCCGGTCCAGTTTTATTAAAATCAATTAATTAGTCACCGAGATAGTGTTTTAAGCCACGGCCACCATCTTAGATTTTCGAATCTTGGAAATTTGACTAAAATTCGAGTTCCCCACTCAAAAATACCCGCGGCGCATGGGTACCAAGTTTCACGTGAATCGATTGATTAGGCTCTGAGATAGCATTTTAGGCCATGTCCGCCATCTTGGATTTTCGAATTTTAAAAATTTGACTAAAAATTTAAGTTCCCCATTGAAAAGTACCCCCGGGTACCAAGTTTCACTTTAATTGACTGATTAGGTGCTGAGATAGCATTTTAGGCCACGTCCGCCATCTTGGATTTTCGAATTTTGAAAATTCGACTAAAAATTCGAGTTTCCCATTCAAAAATACCCTCGGATACCAAGTTTTGCGTAAATCGATTGATTAGGCGCTGAGATAGCATTTTAGGCCATGTCCGCCATCTTGGATTTTCGAATTTTAAAAATTTGACTAAAAATTTAAGTTCCCCATTGAAAAATACCCCCGGGTACAAAGTTTCACTTACATCGGTCGAAAAGAGCGCCTACAGGGCTTAAACAAACAAGTATCAGTTGATTAGGCGCTGCGATAGCATTTTAGGTCATGTCCGCCATCTTGGATTTTCGAATTTTAAAAATTCGACTAAAAATTCGAGTTCCCTATTGAAAAATACCCCCGGGTACCAAGTTTCACTTAAATCGGTAGAAAAGAGCGCCTACAGGGCTTAAACAAGCAAGTCTCAGTTGTAAAAGTTTTCCACTCTGTCCCACTACAGTGGGACATGGGACAGGATGGAAACATATGGGACAGGATGGAACGGGACAAGATGGAACGGGACAGGATGGAATAAGCTGTTTTTTAAGCTTATCTCTAACAGTAAAGACAATTTTGGTGTTTTTTTTCACGGAATATTTAGTAGCACGTCCTAGAGGATCGGAATAAGAGAAAATTTTCCCTAACGCACACTTCGAAAGTATTTTACGAGCTGATATTAGTGTGTGTGTGTATGCTTGACGCCCTGTTAGTTATCGTGTGTAGCATTCTGTTTGGCATCATTAATGGCGTCAATCTTGCACAAAAATTTGCGAATTTCAGAATTTTTGCCATCTACAACGTGTGAACTATTCAATCAAAACAAAAAAAGTCGTTTTTGGAAAAACCTCAACGTTACGGCAATCATATAGAGCTTATTACATCGTTGCCATGTCTCTCCTGACAGTTGCTGACTATTGCTCGGGACAATGATTCTAGCGCGTGAAAAGTTATCGATTGAGCATAAAATAAATTGACATATTTTTTTTCTCAAATTCAAAAGCATTACCTATCATCTCCGATAAAGTTTTCTTAAATAATCACTCTAGTTATGCTGCAACATCGATTTAAAGTCAAGAACCAGGCACGGGGGACACGACACGCAAATTTGGGACAAATGTAGGCAATTTGCACATTCAAAGTTCTCCTAAATTTTTATTTCAGTCCAAATATAGTGGGAAATAGCATGTAATAGTCAACAATAGTGTGGAAAATGAGGAAAAAATTTGATCTGCCCATGTTTCTCAGATTATGACGATTAAAACAGCTCGGGACACCAAATTAGACGCTTATTTGAACTCACCCACCGTATGTTAAATATTATGTGGATCGAGTTAACCAGAAAGGAACCAACCCACATTTCCGAAAAAAATCGAGTTAGGAATGTTTTTGAGTTCCACTAGCCTTAGGTATATTTTCTCCTGCCAAAAACTGAAACTCGGAAAAAAGAAATTAGTTTGTGAAGAGAGGGGTTAAAACTTATTTTCTACATCGAGTAACCTTATACACGAGTTATAAAACTTCACACCCCTTTTTCTTAGTTTCATCTTGATGTTATTTGGTTCCTTTCCAACGAACTCGGTCCATGTAGCAACCTATAAGTGCCCGCGGATTGGATGGAACGACTCCTCTGATGAAATGCTCACCGTATCGTAGTACCGTTTTTGAAGCAGGAAGCTTAAAAAACGCACATCTCTTACGCAGATTGTGAAGTTAGGAATGTGCCTCGGACTTTTCCAACGAGTCCAATGATTTTTAAGTCATTTTCCTGAAGAAATAAATCTTCTTTTTGCTCTAGCTGAAGTTTGTAAAAAGCCCCTTGTGTACGCATGGTATCTATTTACTAAATATTGTAAACGACAACTCTCTCAGTCTTGCATGAGAATACGATGACCAGAACAAGAAGCTTTGAATCCCACAATCAGAACCGAGCATTTGGACTCTCTATTTTGAAATAAGACATGCAGAAAAAAAAATCTTGGAACGTTCAATAATGTTCTTCGGACCTTTTTCAAAATTACAGATCGATTGAAGCTTCCGAAATGCTGACCAATTCTGGTAAAAATCATTGTAGAGCGCCACTCAGATACGATACAGAAGAGCGCCTTCAACCCACTATGTAATCTTAATGCGAAAATCTGATACCACTATGCGTGCGTCACGACAGTCATTTTGCATAGCCGGCCAATTGAAGGCAAATCATTACCCAGGCAACGGGGTACGAATTTCAGCGATGTGATACATGTTCCTTAGGGAACATAACCTCCGAGGGGGCCCCCACCTGGATTCCAAGGAGCCCAACCCCCCAGGGGCTGCCCCACCTGACATCCAAGAAGCCCAACCCTAAAGGGCTGCCCCTCTAGGCAACCAAGGAGTCCAACCCCCCAGAGGCTGCCCTCTTGGCATCCAAGAAACCCAACCCCCAGGGGACGCCCCCCTTGGCATCTAAGGAGACAACCCAAACGAGTTATGTGATTGCCGGCTTACACCGTCGATATACAATTTAATGATTTTATGCAGTGTTTGAAATGGTGTTCATGTATACCGATGCCTGGTATTTTCATAAATTTATCATACATCCCTTATTTTCTTTCATTGCAGGTCCCGAAGGAAAATTTGGATTATCATCATTACCTACCAATGTTTTTTGATGGCCTTAAGGAGACTGAACACCCGTATAAATTTTTTGCCCAACAAGGAGTTCACGACTTACTCTCACATGGCAAAAACAAAATTCTTCCAGTTATACCACAGCTAATCATTCCCATAAAAAGTAAGCATTTCATTTTAGAGCACTTTCAAAATTTAGCTGACAGGATAGAGGATCAACTAGGATGTATTCTGCCGTGCTAAGGAAGAAGGCCGTATGAACATTCGGGAGTTGTAAAATTTACTTCGATAAAAATGGGGCACCAGAAACAAAAAAGAAACACACACGCTGATTAGAAGAGAGAAAAGTACATGTAAACTTCAAGATGGAAATAAATATCTCTGACATCTTCATCATTGTAAGAGTCGCAGGGAGTCAGCAATCGCCGGCAATTTGCAAGCTCCGTGCTTGTCAATTCGTCAAATTGTAATTACGATAACATCGATATAGTAAAGATTTCTTAACGCCTTCAAATCCAGCGATACTCTCCGCTTTGCCAAGGAGTTAGTTTAGTTGATTAACCGAACCTAACACAGATTATTGATGACATTTCACGAACTCGCGAGTGTGCTAGCTGGCACCATGTATCCAAGAAGAAGGGGTTACCGTATGTTTGAATTCAAAGCATAATAATCTCTACTTCCAATCTCGTTATTTCACTTTAAAACGATTTAATTTGTTGATTAAACGCGAATAGATTGCAATTTGCCGGCGATTGCTAATTGAATGCAACTTAAATATACCTGAGAATGTTTGTGAAGAAATAAATGAGAAAAAAAATTACTGTCTGAACAATCACAATCACTGCCTGTTCACATGTTAATTAACCAATACTAAAGTACTTCATCCATGGTGAAAGTGAAGAAGTGCAAATCTAGAAAACAGGATTTTCCAGGAGAGTAAAAAAAATGTCTGCATTCCTCTTTATTGTCGATAGAAGGGTAATAATTCTTGAGGATAGCAAGAGTCAGATTTCTCTTCAAACTCCATCAGCAGTTTCAATAATTTTTCGAACTGTTGGGAAATACGGCAGAAATGTCAAGATACGCGTTTTTTACGGAATTTATGTCTATTAGTGACATTCCAGAGTCCGGCGCCGGCTCCCTGCATTCCTTCCCTCTGACTGTGGAATTTATGTCTATCGCCGACGTTCCGTAACGAGTCGTTGTACGCTGTTTCTGCGCTAAAATGGCAGGATTCTCACCGCTTGAAGCCTTACGGACCCGAGGGTGGAGTTTATGTCTATCAGTGACATTCCACAGTCCGGCGCCGGCTCCCTGCATTCCTTCCCTCTGACTGTGGAATTTATGTCTATCGCCGACGTTCCGTAACAAGTCGTTGTGCGCTGCTTCTGCGCTAAAATGCCAGGATTCTCACCGCTTGCAGCCTTAGGGACCCGAGGGTTGAATTTATGTCTATCAGTGACATTCCACAGTCCGGCGCCGGCTCCCTCCATTCCTTCCTCGACTGTGGAATTTATGTCTTTCGCCGACGTTCCGTAACGAGTATTTGAACGCTGTTTCTGCGCTAAAATGCCAGGATTCTCACCGCTTGAAGCCTTACGGAGCCGAGGGTTGAATTTATGTCTATCAGTGACATTCCACAGTCCGGCGCCGGCTCCCTGCATTCCTTCCCTCTGACTGTGGAATTTATGTCTATCGCCGACTTTCCGTAACGAGTCGTTGTACGCTGTTTCTGCGCTAAAATGCCAGGATTCTCACCGCTTGAAGCCTTACGGACCCGAGGGTGGAATTTATGTCTATCAGTGACATTCCACAGTCCGGCACCGGCTCCCAGCATTCCTTCCCTCTAACTGTGGAATTTATGTCTATCGCCAACGTTCCGTAACGAGTCGTTGTACACTGTTTCTGCGCTAAAATGCCAGGATTCTCACCGCTTGAAGCCTTACGGACCCGACAGCTCAATTTATGTCTATCAGTGAATTTCCACAGTCCGGCGCCAGCTCCTTGCATTCCTTCCCTTTGACTGTGAAATTTATGTCTATAGCCAACGTTCCGTAACGAGTAATTGTACGCTGTTTCTGCGCTAAAATGTCAGGATCCTCACCGCTTTCAGCCTTACGGACCCGAGGGTGGAATTTATATCCATCAGTGACATTCCACAGTCCGGCGCCGGCTCCCTGCATTCCTTCCCTCGACTGTGGAATTTATGTCTTTCGCCGACGTTCCGTAACGAGTCGTTGTACGCTGTTTCTGCGCTAAAATGCCAGGATTCTCACCGCTTGAAGCCTTACGGACCCGAGGATGGAATTTATGTCTATCAGTGACATTCCACAGTCCGGCGCCGGCTCCCTGCATTCCTTCACTCTGACTGTGGAATTTATGTCTATCGCCGACGTTCCGTAACGAGTCGTTGTAGGCTGTTTCTGCGCTTAAATGCCAGGATTCTCACCGCTTCAAGCCTTACGGACCCGACAGTGGAATTTATGTCTATCAGTGACATTCCACAGTCCGGCGCCGGCTCCCTGCATTCCTTCCCTCTGACTGTGGAATTTATGTCGATCGCCGACGTTCCGTAACGAGTCGTTGTACGCTGTTTTTGCGCTTAAATGCCAGGATTCTCACCGCTTGAAGCCTTACGGAGCCGAGGGTTGAATTTATGTCTATCAATGACATTCCACAGTCCGGCGCCGGCTCCCTGCATTCCTTCCATCTGACTGTGGAATTTATGTCTATCGCCGACTTTCCGTAACGAGTCGTTGTAGGCTGTTTCTGCGCTTAAATGCCAGGATTCTCACCGCTTCAAGCCTTACGGACCCGAAAGTGGAATTTATGCATATCAGTGACATTCCACAGTCCGGCACCGGCTCCCTGCATTCCTTCCCTCTGACTGTGGAATTTATGTCTATCGCCGACGTTCCGTAACGAGTCGTTGTACGCTGTTTCTGCGCTAAAATGCCAGGATTCTCACCGCTTGAAGCCTTACGGACCCGAGGGTGGAATTTATGTCTATCAGTGACATTCCACAGTCCGGCGCCGGCTCCCTGCATTCCTTCCCTCTGACTTTGGAATTTATGTCTATCGCTGACTTTCCGTAACAAGTCGTTGTACGTTGTTTCTGCGCTAAAATTCCAGGATTCTCACCGCTTGAAGCCTTACGGACCCGATAGTGGAATTTATGTCTATCAGTGACATTCCACAGTCCGGCGCCGGCTCCCTGCATTCCTTCCCTCCGACTGTGGAATTTATGTCTATCGCCGACGTTCCGTAACGAGTCGTTGTACGCTGTTTCTGCGCTAAAATGCCAGGATTCTCACCGCTTGAAGCCTTACGGACCTGAGGGTGGAATTTATGTCTATCAGTGACATTCCACAGTCCGGCGCCGGCTCCCTGCATTCCTTCCCTCTGACTGTGGAATTTATGTCTATCGCCGACGTTCCGTAACGAGTATTTGTACGCTGTTTCTGCGCTAGAATTCCAGGATTCTCACCGCTTGAAGCCTTACGGAGCCAAGGGTGGAACTTATGTCTATCAGTGACATTCCATAGTCCGGCTCCGGCTCCCTGCGTTCCTTCCCTCTGACTGTGGAATTTATGTCTATCGCCGACGTTCCGTAACGAGTCGTTGTACGCTGTTTCTGCGCTTAAATGCCAGGATTATCACCGCTTGACGTCTTACGGACCCGAGGGTGGAATTTATGTCTATCAGTGACATTCCACAGTCCGGCGCCGGCTCCCTGCAGTCTTTCCCTCCGACTGTGGAATTTATGTCTATCGCCGACGTTCCGTAACTAGTCGTTGTACGCTGTTTCTGCGCTTAAATGCCAGGATTCTCACCGCTTGAAGCCTTACGGACCCGAGGGTGGAATTTATGTCTATCATTGACATTCCACAGTCCGGCGCCGGCTCCCTGCATTCCTTCCCTCTGACTCTGGAATTTATGTCTATCGCCGACGTTCCGTAACGAGTCGTTGTACGCTGTTTCTGCGCTAAAATGCCAGGATTCTCACCGCTTGAAGCCTTACGGAGCCGAGGGTGGAATTTATGTCTATCAGTGACATTCCAAAGACCGGCGCCAGCTCCCTGCATTCCTTCCCTTTGACTGTGGAATTTATGTCTATCGCCGACGTTCCGTAACGAGTCGTTGTACGGTGTTTCTGCGCTTAAATGCCAGGATTCTCGCCGCTTGAAGCCTTACGGACCCGAGGGTGGAATTTATGTCTATCAGTGACATTCCACAGTCCGGCGCCGGCTCCCTGCGTTCCTTCCCTCTGACTGTGGAATTTATGTCTATCGCCGACGTTCCGTAACGAGTCATTGTTTCACGGTCTGCAGTAGGAACTTTAGGACGCTACCAAATTTCCTTTGATTAAATACAAATTTTCAGGGAGATCGTGCATTTCTTTCCGTTTTGTAGATTTTGTTTACAATATAATACCATTATTTACTGTGCGAATTTCTTTTCTCCGTCTTTTTTTTAAGTAATTTTAAAATGTATAATGTTGAATCAGCAACTCTGTACCTACTAAAGTATGGCTCTGACGAAGTACCTACCTGATAACAGATTGACTTCTCAGTAGTAGACCTCATATTGTATGTATTACACCAGCAGTAACTCGCTTGAAGATCAGGATACACTGTTGTGGTGTAAGGGACACTAATAGGTAGTAATAAATTTGTGAAAAAAACTTGATGATTTGAGAAGTAGAATACCGCTCTTGTGGCGGCATAAAATTATCGGATTTAGAGCATCCATATTTTCCCACACATACATATATCTTACTCAATCATATTTTTAGACAAAAACTTTTGACATGCAAATGTCCCGGGCAAATACTCAAAACAGGTATTTGGGTAGGGGGCAAATGCTGCGGGAGACTGTCAAATCTTGAAAGTTCAAAAAGTTTTATATGTTTGGACAAAAAGCTTTCGCATTTCAAAATTTTCAAATACAATGATTCATCATATTATGGGCTATCATTGTAGTTTCCTTTTTAAAATACTCCTCATATGTATAATATTAACCGCCAAAATCGTAAAAACTATATAAGTAGAAATTATTACAGCGACCAAAGAATGATGCAAATTTTTAAAAATAATTCCTCTTTATGAGGACAAATAATTATTTTGTCTGAAACTAGTAGAGGACTCAGAATTTCAATTTAAAGGAGAATGTTTACGTTCTACTTGGGCATTTGATAAAATATGCTTAAAGCCTCTTAATTTTAGGTATAAGAGCCGATATTAATTTTCACTGAGCTTTATCCAAGACAATCTCCTGCTTTTTAATGCAGATGCCCTCAACACAGGACACCCTGAGGTCATATGCTGCACTTTGAAAGTCCTCCAGCATTTGGTAACATCTGCTGATATGGTCGGCGAAGCTCTTGTTCCTTACTACAGACAAATTCTTCCACCTCTCAATAGATATCAAAGCCCTTCCTACAGTAAGTATGGAAACCAAAACTTTTCCCAAATCAACAAGACTAATTCTTCAACACATATACTTGCATATTGATGGCTGAATCAAAAATATTGGGTACCTCAATTGCAGCGTTTAAAAAACACTGAATATGTTATATTTTCTGCAAGGAAAACTAATTAAAATGTTTCCTTATAATTTTGTGTGATTTTTTTAGAATGAGAAAAGAATATCTTCAGAAAATTTCAAGAGGAACTAATGATTAGTCTTTCTTTAGAGAAGTAAAACATGAGCGGAGACTGACAATGTCACAATCTGAGAGGTCAATTTTCACACTTTAGCCATGAATATGTGACTATTTAAGGGAAAGAGTCCTCAGTGTATTGAAGCAAATATATAAGAAAGCAATTTTTCATTAATTAGGTAAAAAAAAACAAATTTTTGATTGACCCACTTTGTCACTAAAAGTCTTCATGAAAAATCCAATTCTGAGAAAAACAAAAGTTTAGCTTCAAAATTCTTTTAGCTTCTTTTCAAATTTATACAAATTGAGTAAAATTTATTATGATTTCAATGGACCACTAGACAAGGTACGATCTCAGCATTCTGATACATGTTCCTCGACCAAATATTCATGTAGAACACGATGCGTACAACAAAAATTACTGATATTTATGGTGAAACTTAAAATTAAAATAAAAATAAAAATAAGTTCAAGACAAACCACGATGCTATTCATTTTATGTATAATTTAATTACTTACATGCCGAAGCTTTTCGAGACCCCAGGTCCCATCATCAGGGCTTACATAACACAAGGGCAACACTTGCAAAACTACAAAGAAACTACAAAGCAACTAAATAAGCAAAGTGAGGAGCTACATGGTAAATTGTAATTGCCTACATTGGAATTGCCTTTACCATGTAGTTCCTCACTTTGCTTATTTAGTTGCTTTGTAGTTTCTTTGTAGTTTTGCATGTGTTGCCCTTGTGTTATGTAAGCCCTGATGATGGGACCTGGGGTCTCGAAAAGCTTCGGCATGTAAGTAACTAAATTATACATAAAATGAATAGCATCGTGGTTTGTCTTGAACTTATTTGTATTTTTATTTTAATTTTAAGTTTCACCATGAATATTAATATTTCAGATGCTACTTGTCCAAAAATGTTTGTTTAAAAATTACTGATATCAACTCCTTACAAAGATATCTAATGATTCTTGATGCATTAATTCAAACCACCCGCTCATGAAAACTCAATGCTCTCCGTGATTCACACTATGCGCTAAACGTTATAATGACAGTCTCTGCGATATAAAAATCTAGCAACCTCAATATTGAAGCTTTGGCTCAGCTAAAGCAAATTGCATAAAGTTTGAACAACACATGGTGGGAAATGAACATTGCTTGATTGAAAAGCTTGCTGAAACCTTTGTAGTGCGCAACTTGACTCACATAGACCTTTGAGTTTTTTGTGAGCGGGCAGTTCAAATTCCTCGTAACCAATGTGAAATACAAACGTCAATATCATCATTAGGAGTTGGTTTCAGTAATATTTGTTGTGCGAATCGTGTTCTACATGAAATTCTGGTTAAGAGACATGTGATAGATTGCTTAAATTCACACCTTGTCTAGTGGTCCATTCTTGAATGGATTTTCTCATTACTGTTGCAGATAACATAGGTGATGAGATAGATTTCAGCCAAAGCAAAAGAGAAAATATTAGTGATCTGGTTCAAGAAACTTTGGAAATATTGGAACGATACGGAGGCGAGGATGCTTACATAAATATCAAATATATGATACCAACATATGAGTCATGCATGCTCAATTAACTTCCCGAGGAGGCCTACTTGGATCTCAAATAACTTTTTTACTAAGAGTTCTGTGTGTTACAGTAGTTACATGTTTACGTTAAGATTCTTAAATTTTAATAAAAATTGTTTTCAATAAAAATCTGGCCAAATTGATTTTTATTGGGGAAAAAATATAAATATTTACAGGAATTCAACTGGATACCAAAATTAACTGATTGATAACTACACGGAAAAAAAAAAGCTGCCACATCAACACCCAGAAAGTTTGACATTGGCGCAAAAACTCAAAGATGTTGATAGGAATGCTCCTGTTGTTAAGGATTGTACATTAACAGCCAATGTATTTATATCAACATTCCAGAGCTGTCCCACAGATTTTTAACATTCCAGATGCTGATATGCAGAAATCTTATCCCCAGTTCAATTTAAAGGGTTATTACTTAAATGAGTACCTATAAAAACAAGTTTGTTCAACAAGTTCGGCATAAAATTTGGATTAGGAGACATAAACTGTGCTACCGTGCTAAGTACAAACGCTGTATGAGCATTCAAATTTTGTCAAAATTGCCTCTAAGAAAAGATTTATTTTCGAAGAAAGTTATGAAAGCTTTGTTCCTTAGAACGGTAGAATTAGTGCTCAATTTTTTACCCTGTCTAGTGGTCCATTCTCAATGATAAATTTTATGATGTTTCGGAGAATTTTGTGTCTTAGCTGTAAAAAAATTCAATCAAAACAAAAAATTAAATCTTGTAAAAACAAGCTGCAATTTCAAGTCTAATGAACTGTCAAAGATTTCTAATTTTCAGCAGTATATTTTTATTTTTATACAGATATAGTGATTGATAGGAAAAATATTAAGAGGCGTTGCGTACGACTTCTATGAAAATACTTTAGTTCATCATCACAACTTCTATTGCTTCGGCAATAGAAGCATCACAATTTTCCGAGAGTAAAACTTAAAACATCAAAAGAATGCAAAGTAAGGTTAGTTCATTTGAAAACATTTTTAATAATACAGTAACAAAGTCAAAGAAGATGTAGTACAAGTTGACAACAAATGGGAGCCTTAAATGACATATTATTGAACTCCTTTAGCCTTCGATCAAACAAGAGGTCTACAGCGTCACAAAGCAAAGGCAAGGATCACATTAGGAGTAAAGATATGACTAATGAATATCAGGTTAGGGTTCATCCCTTTTCAAAAAGCTGCAGCTTTCATAATCATAAATAATTTATTTTTTTTATATCTCTAAGTGTCAGGCTTAAGTGTCATGTTCCAATTTAAAATATTGATCCTGCTCTTTGGTGGTTTACATCAGGTATGTATTTTACCAAAAAAAACCCGGATAGAACAAATGGACGGTAGTCTTCTTAAAAGACTGTCTTTTATTCTAAGATGTTTTGTACCATTGAATGTTTGACTCTGATAAAGTTATTCTTTCACTAATATTCAGCTGATTTTGTACAACCAAGTAAAAGTTTTAGCGATTATGATGTGAATAAATCATTTTCATGTTCACATATGATGTAAATTAAAAGGAAAATCAAGAGCTTTTCATCTTTGATAAACAATGATTAATAATATTTAAATGGGGGAAAATATAAAAAGAGCATCAATAATAGTTACATTCTTGATTTAAAGTAGCAGGTGATTCTGTTGATTGAAGGGCTTCAAATTTCATCATGTTTCAAGGACATTTTTGAGAGGAACCTCTTGTATCAATAGAAAAATACTCCGTACACCACAGCCATGCAAAATATGGTGTCCTGGAACAAAGAGACAGCCTTCAATACAAGAAACGAGGAAAAAAATTTAAAATTCAAGACGTGTTGCAGGTAGTCATACAGCAAGTGTACAATGACCCAGAGTTGTTGTATTAGCCAAAAACTTTCACTCGAAAATACTTGAAGCATGCATGAAAATCATGACAAAGATATGTAGGTGTTTTTACTTTCATAAAAGGACGGCCCCATAAAATTCTCAACATTCTTTGAGTTCAATCTTTTACACAATGAATTTTGATGGGTACCAGATTCAAAACTAATAGAGCCTACTCCACTTTACTTTCAAACAGAGCAGAATCGCGCCCTTCTTCCTTTGAGCAACTAATGAAATTGCAAAAGAGCTGCTGCTATCGACAAATTGGGGATGAGGAGAAAATGAAGGACAAGAAAAAGAAAAAAAGAGACGGAAAAAGAGAGTTTATGAGCTTCAGCAGTACCATGTGTGTGGCAGTGCCGTGGATGTCATCATTAATAGAATACTAATTTTTATTGTGGGCCAATCATTGGCAATGTAGGGCAAAATTATTGCGGAGTGGACAAATTGTTAGGTGCTGTTATCGCCATGCAAGTTCATCGACCGGGAACAATTAAAACTGCACCTTTGGGCAATGGCACTGGAGTTATACCACATAAAGGTAACCGTGTTTTATGTATTTGAGTACATTTATAGTATGATAATGCATCGTAAAAGGATGTAACTGTCATTTTTTCTAACAAGGTGGAGAAATGATGCTGGGTCCACATCATTTTGCAGGGAAATTAAAGCTAAGAAGTTCCAAAAATTATAATTGGAGAGAGGAAAAAAAAAATTAACTCTAATGAGTACCCGTGCAAAACTGAGGGGGGGAGAATGTTCAGCTCAGGCAGTTTGCTTTGGAATATTAAGTTAAAGTCACGCCGAGAGAATTTTTTTTTTTTTTTTTACTATAATTATAATTTTTAGAACTTCTTGGCTTTGATTTCCCCGCAAAAAGGTGTCAACCCAGCACCATTTCTCCACCTTGTTACATACAGTTCCGGCCATTTCTTAGTGTTGTTGTTTGTTTGTTTTTTTCCCCCTCTCATTTGTCATTTTTTCTCGGTTTTCCATTAATTTAAGCCACCTTTCGAAAAAGAGGGATGCACACTCAAACATCAACAGCAATGACCACTCTAGGAACATGCATCATTCACCATGTTCAAATTGTTATAGTTAAAGAATGCTCAAAATAAAATTCTGAACACAAGGAGCCATCTCTGAGTAACAGATGTAGATAGATTGGAAAGGGGTCTTTCCCAGCATTGCAGAAGGCTGGGCGTACTAGGTGAATTACAACATTGTTATTTGGATAAATCATTGGATAATCACACCCAAAGTTTAGATAAATCTTTGCTTTGGAAAAAGAAAAGTTATAGCTTCAGCGTGTCAGACTGTTAAACTTGTAGGGCCTGCATTACTTTGACATTACCTCATTCAAAATCTGTTACATTTGAATGCTATGTGTTGACATCGTTGTACTCTGCTGAATTGAAGTAGAAGGTTCTGCCTCTCATAAAAGTTAATGTGAATTGCATCTAATACAACAGTATAAAGTGCTTTAAAGGAGTGAGGGCTTGACAGCAAGCGGTAAATCTAGAGTTACATAAGGACTGGCCTAGATGATGTTAACTTACATTTGTTTTTGAGTCAGGTTCAGTAATCACAAAATATTTTAGCTCCTTATTTTTCATGAATATGATACCTAAATATTACTCAATTCTCATCTTTTGCCTCACTTCAAGAATAATTTCAGCATACTTACATTTGTGAAAATTTCAGACGAGTATGAGTCGCTATCAGCGTCCCAAAGACATCTTGTGGCCGTGACGACACCCGCTCCACGCTGCTCACCCAGCACAACCTGCACCATGAGCTTGTAGCGGGTATAATTCAGTTCTGCAATTACAGGAAAGGGAGATTAACGAATTGATGATAACGAGATTGCTTACAATAATTACTTAGGGTCTCTGAGAGAAAAAATATACTTAGGTGGACAGACTTAACACTAAGAATGAATGATGCCTTTTTCCAAAAATAATAGATGATGTGATCCAAATACATTACGCTTCATCTACTTATTTGAGCGCATGAGGCTTCAGATAACGATAATATTAAAACTCCCCTTATACAGATAGGTCAAGAGATATGAACAATAAGCTTACTTGGAACAGCTATAACATTGAGAGAAGCACCTGGCTTTATATTTCTAGAAGATATTTTATGTCTCTGAGTTTTTTAATAGTGGTTTTGAAAAGGAGCTGAGATTTTGAAACAACACAAACAAGATTCACATTCGCTGTTTCACCTTCAATATCAAAGCCAAGGTTCAGTTTCCCTTTGCTAAAGGCAAATATGGTATGTTATGACGATTTAAGGTATTTCAGCAACTGAATGTATTAATAAAAAAACTTATCAAAAATATTAATAATGGAGATTCTGCACGCGAATTCTTTATTGCTTCAACTGCGAGTGCTTAAAGAGCTGGTTTCGCATAATTGTTCTTTGCTAGGGGAAAAAATAGTATACAAATAAATTTAAAAGTGAGAAAATACATCGCCTACTGACGTCATCTGGTGAGATTCCCATTTAAAAACATGTATTTTAGTAGATTAGATCATTTTTTCAAAACTTTTCTGATAATTGTTCAAATTATGTACTAAAGGTATCCTCATGTATGTGTGTTCACTCGGTAATTTCTTCTTAAACATGAAATTCACAAAATTCAAGACACCTACAAATTCTCCATTCTTGGCAACTCTTCACTGTACAATAGAAATTTATACCACACTAAATTTTCAGGATATTATGATTGATGCTGCAACAATTAAGCTATTTTTGACACAGTAAGTTACTATAAAGAGTAGGACAGAAAAGTAGAAACGATCCAAAGGAAAAAGGGCTAAAATTGTGAAACAACAGAAATTTATGATATGACATTAAAAACTTGTTTTAAAAAACTCAAGAGCTTCCCCTCACCTGTAGCGGTAGAGCTTCCCTCACAGGTGACGGGAAGCTTTGAGTTTTTTAAACTAAGTTTTCATTGTTAGAAAAGATCCCTTCCAAATAACCTCCATAAGTGTAAAATTGGGGATAATTGGACCGCCGTAAGGCGAAAGAAACCAAGCCACATCAGCCTTGTCAAATTTTATTGGGTAATTTAATTTTTTACATGAAAACGGTTATGCAGATTTTTTGTTTATTTGTTTGTTTGTTTGTTCAGTGAATTATTGGCATAGTGCAGAGCAAATTCCTGAAAAACCTTGAAAAAATCTACACAAACGTTCTTTTGTAAAATATTAAATTGCTCAGTCCAATTTGGCAATGGCTGATGTGGCTTGGTCATATAATAATAGCTACCAGAAGGGCAGCAGCCGGCCATCTTTGCTCCAATTCTTGAAATCCCCACGACCCCTGCTCAGCCTACCGTTTCAAATTTCGCGGGGAAAAAGAGCAAAGTCTGTTGCTCTCACCCTACGTCTCTCTGCTGTTTCAAATTACGCGGGGAAAAAGAGCAAAGTCCGCTTTGAAAAAGTGACTATACGCGATCTTACGGGAGGATCTGCCGGTTACTTTTCTGGTAGCTATTATTCTATGACTTGGTTCCCTTCTGCTAAACGCGATCCAAATATTTCCTGCATAATGTTGGCAATGCTCCTTCCTTTCCTTCCCTCCCACCCAAAAACGGAAACAAACCTTTGACTCTATCCTTAATCATAACTGCAATCTCCTCGCTCCACTGTCCAGCAGCTGCTACATCATAGGTTTTTCCTTTGAGCTTTTCATTGAGGACTTCACGTATCACTTCCTTCACTTTTTCACATTTGAATCTGAAAAAAAAGTAAAACAAATAAATGTTCAAAACATTAAGTTGTATATTATCATAGAGACAAGAGATCGACCAAACTCACTGAATAGCTAATTTAGACGCATCAAAGTATCTTAATTGATGGTGAAGTTGCTTAGCCCACATGCCTCAACTGATCTAAAATTTTCACTAAATTCAACAGGCGAGTTCTGGAAAGGGACGGAAGATTTACTATCTTTTTCTCAAGCAGTCCGTTTTCATAAAAATTCGGAGAGAGCTATGCAGATATGGAAACAAAGCAATTTTTTTTACATGACAGTTTTTCTCCTATTATGTATAGACAAGCTCAATTCAAAATCTCTCGGGAAGTACATGGTATTCACCGATTAACAGACAACATTATGCTATCTGAGGAGCATTTCTTTAACCTTGAAAGATTTTGCGGTTTTAGTCTGCACCTAGCTAAATCATAGCAGATAAATTTGCAGAAAGTTACAAAATTTAAGCTTACTTATTTGCGAGACATGGTCTGATTTGAAAACTGACGCTTTCTTCTTCCTGGTTCTCTTCAAATTTCGACACATCTGGCAAGGGGTCTTCATCTGTCCCTGTATTCATGACCTCAAGGCATCTCTATTGCAGCTAAAAAATAACGCACAAAATGTTAGTAAGTGAGTAAAAAAATCAGTCACATTATCGAGAGAAAAAAATATTTTCCAAGTATAAAATACACTCCAGCTAAATGAATGCTTCCGAGGGCACTCAAAAAACAGATAGGAGCAGCCCTAATATAGTATTCCTTCAAAACGCCAGCTTACACCTCCTAAAAAATTGGATTGTTAAAAATGGAGAACTTATGTTGAATAAGTTGGTAATTGTTTACGTTTGACTGCCGTGGACAGAAAACCAACGGCGGCCCCCGCGGTCCATTTATGAAAATTGCTACTCGACAACAGCAATACAGTCACTAGCAAAAGGATAGTAAGTACGACTCAGTTCTAGTTAAAAGAATGAGGTAAATGAAAATAACGCTTGCTGGATTTCACATAGCTCATGAGAAGCAGCAACCAATAAAAGTGTGAAGACAAATCTGAATTGACAAATATCTTGACTTACACGCAGGAATACCAATGGATGGACCTTACCTACTTCTTCTTCCTGCAAATTTTGGAAATTAGTTTAGTTTATAAGATTTGGAACAATAGCCTTTTGTTTTTGAAAAATGTAGGTACGTTCATATCTTCAAATAGAGGATTAAATTCCATAGAACTACTTAGAATGGGTACTGCTCCTAGGTTCAACCTCTCTCACTCGTTCATGTATGACACAAACATGATACAGCCATTAACCGCGAAGCTTCTAGACACTGGCGCCTCACCTTGCTACGTTAGACACTTAACTTCACACATATCAACGGTGAAACTACTAGACAACGTATCTTTGTTTGCGACATTGCAGACTTCCTGTCATACTTAATTCTTTAAGAAGAAAACTTCTAAGCACTATATCTTGAAAAATTCTGTGTTTTTTCGACTTGGTACAAAGAAAACTCTGTGGAAATTTCATGAGATGATATTGATTTTTGCTCCTCCAAGAAAATAAAATGGGAGCGAAGATTTTTAAACTCTGCAAACAAGACATGTGGTCTATTAGTTTCACCGTCGATACTGAGTATCTTACTCAAACCGTAGCATATTACTCACGGTTGCAAGTAAGTGAATTTTCATCTGAAAGGTAGATGCTTAAATGAGTCTGCGTCTGTTGATTTTTCCTGATGTCAACTGAACTCGTTTTCACGCAGTTTTCTTTATGATAGGCAAAGTTGATGATCTTGAAGGAAGGATTATTTAAGCATTGATTTATTCAGCGCAAGGCACATGGATGTGGTTGATAGCATGGATATGATTGTCCATGTAAGCAGACTCGGTTCTGTTCGAAAACAGTGAGGAGTGATAAGGATAACACCCTCCGCACTCGAGTCACTACTGAGGTGGTATTATACAACATGGGATAAAAAAAAATAGCATGATTAATATTTGGTACGATTTTTAATTACCTGCATATGTTGTTCTTATTTATCGGAAATTTTCTGCAGACTGAATTGCTGAAAAATAAAGCCAAGCTAAAACTGAAACGAACATTCAAATTCATTGTTTGTTTACATGTGGCTTTGGAAACAGAAAACCAGGTTGTCGAGATATTCTAGAGTCAAATAGCACCAGACCATTGTGATGGCGATTTGTCAAAATGTAAAAATACTCCATTGAAATTCATTTTGTCATTAAATATGGCTGTAAAAATTCAATGTAATGTTTTGTCATTAATTTTCATCATATGGTCATGAATGTAATGAGAGGGCTTTCTAAGAATGAAAAAAAAATGGGCTGGTACGCTAGAGCACTATATGAAGAAGGTTGAACGCATTGTTGTCATTTCAAAGCGGGAAATTCAAATTCTTCGTATAGTAGGGGACAATACGTAGACAGAGCCGAGTTTTTTAAATTAAGAATTCCCTACAAATTCTAAAGCTGAAGTCGTAGTAAATTATTCTGGTCTATTGGTGCAACTTGATTCTATAGTAATCCAAAAATCGTGAAAAAACAAACCAGTTACATAGTTTACTTATGTGGCTCTGAATAAAATATAATACCAAAATCATTATTTTTTCTAGTTAGGATTGACGAATAAGAAGTGTTCCAAGCCTCACCAACTTCCTCATGGAACTTCCAGACTGAATACTTTGGGAAATTTTGGCAAAATTGGCTTATAATACAAACATATTCACACCAGTATAGAATTCCTTGGCTGTTAAACTAGTCTATCGTAATAAAGTGTCATTCCATACATTTTCAGAAGTCATAAAGGTACATACTTACCCTTTCCTGAAAAGATACCGAAATCCTGCGATTTTGACCTCACTTCACTCACTTGCACCTTCAGTAAAGGAGTTCCTTATGTGCCATCCGATGATGACACGTTATAAATGATGATGATGGGAAAAAAAATCTTTAAGGGAAATTACAATTCACTCAAGAATTTTCTTGACGATATTCTTGTTCTTGAATGCATAAGAAAAATAATTTAAACTATTCTGGGGGCATTTATCAGTGGTGTGGCGTGAATGATCGATTATCGATATCTCGCCATTTGAAGCTATAGTAAAGAATCGATTATCAGGGACACCCACATTTATCATAGGTTTGACTGGTGTATCAATCGATATATCGAAAAGCACGCCACGCCACCAGCATTTATGTATTAAGAACATCCTTGAAAAACATCCCCACTAGCATCAACGGCATATTGTTTCATTTGTGTTACTTGCATACATGAAAAAAACGTCAATGAATGAAACTTCGCCTTAAATGGATTGATGATCAAAAGTGAAGAATATATCCTGTTGACAATATCCATCAATAAAATTAAAGCTGTACTTTTGCCTTTGCCAATGAAAGCCGGACTGATATTAAATTTCTCCTGGCTTGCCTCAATTGAAGTGATGAAGTGAAAGTATAATTCTCTGCACGGAAGCTCAATTTTTAAAATGAGGCAGCAACTGTCTTTGTTGTCGGCCTTCAGAAAATATAGTTGAAAATTTGGGGATTACCCCTCTACAATTTTATGATCGACACATATCGTTTAGTGAGTGGGAAATGGAATTATTTATTAAATAAATATGAAAGAAAACCTTAAAACTTGGAAATCAGAAAATAATTAATTTGTTCTTATGCATTTATGTATAATGTTTTTACTCCACAAATTCTACAAATATCTCCACAAATGTCTATCTTTTGTCTGTAAAAAATATGCAATCACATTAGTAGTGCATAGGAGTAAATTGAATCGATATTCATGATTTTGATCATAATTTTTGACCAGGAGACCAGAAAATCTGGTACCTACACAGACTAGAGTCAAAGCCTGACCGGTCTAAAGACCTGTTAGTCTAAATACGGTGAAAAAATCTAACAAGGAGTCTACGATAAGTAAATGAAAAGAGGATTAAGATATACATAGAAAAAAACATTTAGTTTTTATTTCATTGTGATAAGAGGGTCATTCTATTTTACTGAGGTAATTTAATTTTACATTCAAAAAAGAACGCTAGACTTGTGAAAATGAGTGAATTACGACATGGAAAGCTACATGAATAAAAAATCATCAATAGATTTTAGCTGTTTCTCTTCTTAAGGAGAGATTGAGCAATGACTGGTTCTTGTCTCATGTTTGCTGACAAATGTACAGGAATGCTGGGGCTAGATGATTGGTTGTAAAGAAATTACAAAGTGGATAGAGAGTCATATCAAATAATGACACCTCTATCATGTTCCAGGTGACAAGTACCTAAGGAGACGACTTCTAGTGAGAAATTAAAGAAGCTGTCGTAAGTAAATTGAAAAAATTAATAGCAGTAATCGTACGGGGGAAAAAGATCTCTTCGAGACATAGCCAGTAAATTGATTTTGAAGAAAATGCATAAGGATACTGGTGAAATCGGAGGAACAAAAGCTTAGAATAATTATAAAAAACTAAAAATAACAGATGTCATTGTAATTCACAGGGGGAGAATATTTGTAGTGGAAAGCTTACTTACAAGGTATTTCACAAGGAGAAATTTTTTGTACAACAAAAAAAACATCACAATTTGCAAGTCCAAATGAGTCAAGAAAATTTGGAGTCATCTGAAGATGAACAGACCTTCAAAATATAAAAGATGAGATCGCACCCAGATCAATGTTCAACACCGTAAAGCTGTCCGATGCCCAATTTTTGATTGACAAAAATAGACTTGCTAATTCCTGATTCTGAAACAAAAACCACAATACAATTAGGAATCCTATATATTAAAATGCAAAGTCCCGAATCTTGGGGCATTAACTTTGAGAGAACCACCGGACCGATTTGCATGGGATTTTTTTTAAATGAAAGCCCCTGAGCTGTAGATTTGCAGGCTGTGATCGTTTTTTCGATTTTCTCAAATTTTCTCCCATAATTTTCTAAAATTGTCTTCGATGCATTAAAACGGAGGTCCGAATCTTTGGACGTTAACTTTGAGAGAACCACCGGGCCGATTTGCATGGGGTTTTTTTTAAATGAAAGCCTGTGATCTGTAGATTTACAGGCTGTGGTCGTTTTTTCGTTTTTCTCAAATTGTCTTACTTTTCTCAACGAGTGAAGTTTAGCTGGACTCAAATTTTCTCCCATTTATTCAGACTAAAGTCCGCATTTTGGGGCATTAACTTTGAGAGAACCATCGGACCGATTTGCATGGGGTTTTTTTTAAATGAAAGCTTCTGATCTGTAGATTTGCAGGCTGTAATTGTTTTTTCGATTTTCTCAAATTTTCTTACTTTTATCGACGAGTAAAGTTCAGCTGTTTTGAGCGGTCATCCGGCCGCTACCTGCTTGCACGTCCCTAGATACCCCCTCTAGGGTCTCAGCCACCCCTCCCACCACGTTCTTTCGGCTATCTCCGTTTTCTTTCGTATAGCTCTCCTCCACCAACCTCAAAGAAGGAAGTTTGGGTCGCATCGTCGTTCGTCAGTTCGTCACTCGCCACCCACATTCCTTTGCCATCCCTCGGCTGCTCCGCCTCACAGCTTCTTGATATCCTGGCATCTTTCTCTGCGGCTTGACTGACCCTGACTTATTAACTGCAGTATAGCGTATTGCTAACAACACGTATTGTTACAGACATTTTATTCATCATTATTAAGTAGATTCAACTAATTGCTCCGATTCCAATTAAGGTACTGCACCACCATTGCTAGCTGTGGAGGGCGCCCGTAGGGCGTCCGGAGCAGCTAGTGGACAACTAAAATGCATATAATGACATGGAAATAGGCCACCTATGGGTAGTCTATAGGCTACTTAAGCTAATAGGGCTTCTTGGAAATGGAAAGCATATTAAGGGAAGAAAACAAACAAAATTTTGAATATGTGAAAAATACATTCGGTTTCAAAGATATCATGAAATTTTCACAATGCCTAAGGGACAAATTACATAGCGCAGAGTGTCATTCCTACTTACCAAGAGCAAATGGAAATTAACTATCTTCACATACACTGACAGTGGAGTGGGATTCTAAAATTTAACCAACCACACCAAGGGTACACCACAACATCCAACCATTTTTTGTCATGATCCAGCGTTTTCTCTTCGCAACCTACTTTCCAATTTGCCTCACTAACTAATGTCCACTTACCTACAAGGGAAAATGCCCACTTTAAAGGCAAAATGTGTGATTTACTGGTACTGGTACTGGTATGAGTATTGAGTAATAAAAGGAACTAAAAAAGAGTTACATGACTTATCAAAACTGCTTTGAGACTCAAGATTTGTTATACATATGAAGCAATGCTTAAATTGCAAGATCAGGCGCTTTAGATAACCAAAGCGTAACTATTTTACAAGTTTCCGAACACAATACACCATTATTTGGGTCCTTCATGATGACTTTTACGACAAAAAAACTTAAGTAACCTATACAAAAGCACATCCACTGATAGAGCAGACTTATCGAATGTTGTAGGGATGGACGAATATCGCATTCGAATGTGATTATTCAAATATTCGAAACTTTTTGATAGCGGTTATTGCGATTATTTGAGAAATCGAATCTTGCGATTTCAAATACTTCGAAGCAAACATACGAATCTTTCCGATTTTTTATTTTTTTGTAACAGGTTTCTGCAAATATAGCAGGGTGGTGGAACAAAGCTTGTACAGGGCTCTATTTTTTGCACTTTTGGGAAAGTATTTCCAAACGATGGACTTGTTGCGAACCATACTGGTGGTTACTTGGACTCCAGAGTACTGAATAGTCGGTAGGTCTACAGGGGAATTTATTAATCATGTAATTTCCAACTGTAGGAGGGAAAGTAATAGAAAATCGCAGTTTTACCTTCTCAAATATTAATCTAATAATAATCAAATATTCGAATACTTTCACCAACATTCGATTTGGATTCGACTATCTCGGTAATGATATTTTGAATATCGAATAATTGGCCATCCCTAATAAGTTGAGACAAAAGTCAAGTATTGTTTAGGTCACCGCTCATCAGTGGTGCCATCTGACTGCATGTATAAACCTGTTGAGAGGTGATGATTCGGAAAAAATCAGAGATTGACATTTGTCTCAACGTACGATGAGTCCACTTTAGCAGTGTTGGATTCTATAGCTTTCTAAACTACATTCAAAATACCCATTCAGTGAAGTTTCAAAATTGCACAATTTGAAATATAATAAGGTCAAAAACTAAATTTTTAGTCACTTGAATCTACAATGTAAATTATATCGGATGCATTTCAGTCTTTCTGAATGATCATTCTTAGCAATACCTGCTTCCCCTAGGGATGGTCGTCTGGAACAGACAAAATGCATCTGGCAAAGAGTCCTGCAATTACATCCTTGCAAAGTGTAAAAAATTTTGTTTCTGACCTTACTTGGTTCCAATCTTTGACAGCGGTGCTGACAAGAGCAGAGTATTATCTGCAGCAAGGTCGATAGACCTAGGTCAGTCCATTAGCAAGATGTTCTTTGGAATTCCTCAATCTGGCGACATATTCCCTCAATTTGCTATTTCATTGCTTTCCAAAAGTTTCCCCGAATTGTGCTGCCCCAAGGCATATTTCAACCCAATCTGCATGGAGACAGCAGGGTGGGACAAGCAAATTGAGAGAACGTTATGGCAACGCAGACAGCCTTCGCTGCCGTTTCTCAAGGATTTTGACACTCAACTTTCCTAATGGACTGACTTGGGTCTATTGACCTTGGTCTGCAGCATTGATTAGTCGCAAGACAAAGAACTAAAAAAACCTTGACACTACTTACAAGTATTTATACTGAGGAGCTTACTTCGGCATGATTTCAAGGTGTCAGATTTTGAATCAACGTTATGTTTTCTCCTTTCAGCATTATCCTTCCCAGCGTTTTCCGCGACTTTGAGTGGATGTTGTGTTCTTCGGCTTCATCTAAGACTAGATTCATGTATTCATCAAAGCCAACAATGTGTCCTTCGATCCGTAAATTAACGTTTTCGTAAAGCCATACTTGAACTCGAGCTCTTGTTTGCAGATACCTGAAAATCAAGTTAATGGGTTGAACCATAACCTTCTGCACTTTCTGGGGTCCTTTGTACGACATTTTGGCGGATTTAGAACTACAAATTGCACAAAAAAGTAGATACAACTGGTGAAAATTGAAAAATATTAACACCGGCGAGGAACAAAAAGCGTGAAAGCGTCAAAAAGCGTTCCGGGAAACCTAACCTCTCGAGTCATTAATAAACATTCAAAGTTGCAGCTGAGCGAAAATGAACCAATCAACATCAAAGCGCCAATTCAAATAAAAGCGCTAAAATTTGAATATACGCGTGGCCGAGATACACGTTTACACACACATTGTGACTGCCGTAATTTTTCCGAGACGGTTGTGTCATACTTCTATTATGTACAGTTAATATACTTTATAGACTGTGAAACTAGCAACGACGTGCCTGTCTCGTTTGCGGTGTTTAAAAATCTCCGTTCCCATTTCATTTTTTTGAAGGAGAACAAATCAATATCATACCTCGAGGTTTTCACAGAGTTTTCATCGCGCAGAGAGGAAAAGTCACGAAAGCTCTCAAGAATTGACGTTGATCTCAGTTTTCCGTTTAAAAAATAAAGTATGACAAAAAGTCTGCAACGTCGCAAACCGCATCGTTATGCTTCATGCTCTTCTCGGAGTTTCCCTCTAAAAAAATGTCCTTTCTCGTAATCTCCCCCCCCCCCCCCNATGTTCCGATAGTTATAATTACATTTCTTATTGGTAATTGGACGTATTTCTATCAAACGGAACTAAGCGCCATAGGGAGAGGAAGGGAGAGGGGGGCTTGGATTGGCGGGTGTTGCGGAACACGATGCTCGCCCCGGCCTGTACTCGCAATGCTTTTCCATGGCGCTTAGTTCCGTTTGACAGAACGCGCTATCCGGGATTCTAAAATCCTCCAAAGGAACTCAATTTGGCGCTTAGTTCTGTTTAACAGAAATACGTACACTTGGAAAAAAAGACCAAACATATTTTTGTGGATGCAGGAAAACTTATTGACATAAACGATTTTTAAGGCTATAAACTTTAGAGCTCTTGAGAGACCTCTGAACATTTTTTTTTTCCTCCCCCAAAATTTTTATTGATTTGGACACATTATAGAGTCCTTGACAAGAAAGTTTCCGCACTTTCAGACTGCGACGCAGAAGATCTTCCACGCTGTCTTGATTCTTCCATTTACTTTACATGTAAAAGAGACGTCAGACGATCTCCTGTCGCCGTCTAAAAATGCGTAAACTCATTTAGCGTGGACTCTATATTTGCCGTAAACTCAATCTTAAATTTGTTCAAATTCCAAAAACAAGAGACAACTCAAATGCTTGTGTCACACAATCAAAGCTAGCCATCAAAATATCAAAGTCAGGTGTTGTGATTGGCTAATTCGATGACTTTGACCAATCACAGCACTTGACATTGACATTTTGTTGGAGTATTTTGATAGTGTTACGCAGGCTAAAGCGAGTTCATGACAACGCGATATACTACTATTTTGCGTGGATATCCATGTTGCACGTGCAAAATTGAAGGCGCAATGGCGCGAACTCGTCATTCTCCGATCTTTTCTGCCAATGAGTTGTCGCTCGAATTTAAGAAAAAAGTAAACAACGAAATCCGATTACGTATCTCCTATTCTCGGCTAAGTTGGTCACGAAGCCCTTGAAACATCACTTCAAGTAAGACAAACGGAACCAACACAACATGAAAATAGAGCAAGGATTAGGACGCGCGGTGCAGACGGCGCAGAGATACAACTATTCGTACATGGTGGATGTCTGTGTTGCATCCGCAAAATTGAAGGCGCGATGGCGCGAGACATAAACTCGCAACGGTCTGCTCTATGCTGCCAATGAAATCTCTCTCAGATTCGGGAGAAAAGTTAAGAGCGTAGGATCTCTCATTTCTCCGTCTCTCTCATCTTTTTCTGCGTGTCCTCTATTCTATTTTTTTCAATTTACGGTCCGATTCTTTTTCCAAGATGTATTTGTAAATGTCTATTCAAGGCTCATATGCACCAGCATATGTACATGTCAAAATTCCACGCTCCAGATGGTAATTCGAGGCAAATATAGCAACGGGGAATGAATTTAACGTCCTTTTCCGATCAGTTGCATAAGCCTCATCTCGTTTTTAACTTTTTAAGTCTTTTGTTTAAAGTCTTGAAAATTTAGCTTTGAAAGCCCAAACCTATAACCACCGGTCCATTTCCGGAAAAAGGGCACATAACGGAAAATTTTAAAAAATTCCTCCCACAACATTGAAAGAAGTGTAAGTTTTACCAATAGTCGTTATTCATTCTAGGGTGTATATACGTTGATATGAGTGACCCCGTTCCGATGTATGTCATCATCAGTGCCAAGAAAGTAGGAATGAAAACTTCAAATGCGTTTTTCTCACAACTTGTTTTTTCGGTATGTGCCCTTTTTCCGAAAAGCTCCTTAATTGTATTTAGCAAATGGGTGGTTTTTATGCGAGGATTAAGAAAAAACAAGTGGTAAGGAATATAACAAAATAATATGAACTATGCAAAACGATAATCCGGGTATCGGAACTTGGCTGCTTTGAAAACGCCTTCAAATGCGGCGTGATACCTCACGCATTCCGGGGAGTTCGAATAGTTGTATCATTGCGCCGTAAGAATGTGGCGGAAGATTACAATTGAAATAGCCTTCCTGCACGCTGGCCTTTTCGATTTCCGTTCACATTTTTGCAGTCATCAATGCGTAGCTTAAGTGCGCTTCAGCTAGAATTGTATTCAGCAAATGGGTGGTTTCTATACGAGGATTAAGAATAAACAAGTGGTTAGAAATGAAAACAAAATAATATGAACAATGCAAAACGATTCCCGGGTATCGGAACTTGGCTGTTTTGAAAACGCCTTCAAATGTGGCGTGATACCTCACGCATTCCGGAGAGTTCAAATAGTTGTATCATTGCGCCATAAGAATGTGACGGAAGATTAAAATGGAAATAGCCTCCATGCACGCTACTTTGTCGATTTCCTTCGACATTTTTGCAGTCGCGAATGCATAGCTGAATTGCGCTCCAGCTAGAATAATTGAAATAAGTGGCAATGTTTTCTTCTTTTTTCAATGCGTTGCAAATTGCCTAACCTCCGCGCCTTTTGTTGGTTTTTTCATGTAAGTAGCCGTTTACAATCAGCATTTCCTCACCAAATTGTACGAACATATTGTAAATATTTCATGGTATGCAATTAATCGCATTAAGTTAAAAAATCATTTCAATATTTTTGTCGCACGCTATATTCGGGCAATGATGGCATGGTGTTTCACGCGACATTACACAAAAAGAAAAGTAAACTCGTATCGCATATCTGCCGTGCAACGCGAAAACGCCATTTTAAACTTTTTGGAAACAATGCATCATAGCCGAAAAACTTGTGTACTTGGGGACAATCTTTTCACGGATTTCAGTCTCAAATACTATCGAGAACTCAACCTGAAAATTTGAGGTGCATCAGTAGAATAGTTTTTATTTTACAAAGCGTTAAGTCCGAAAAAACGCGGGGAAATCTTGATGAATTTACGGCGTTCTTTCTTATCACGGCAGATATCCCCGTGGTATTCAAGAGCAGTCCCGTTCATAAACGGTCCTCAAGCTTCCCAGCGAACACACCGGCAACACCGCATGATCTTTCAGAGTTCACAATTGACCAAGAAAGAATGATTCAGCTGAAGCCAGCCAGAGAGACAGAGAGGGACAGCGAAAGAACGAGAGAGACGAGGCGAGTAATTACACCTGTCGTGGGGANGGGGGGGGGGGGGGGGGGGCAGCGCAAAGAGAGCAAATTGTACCTGCACACAGGAGCAAAAGTCGGAGTAGCGGCGTGATTCCAGTTTGAGGACAAATTTAATTGAGTGCCCCGACTGGCTCAGACTCCCCGCGACTCAATCCGCAAAAACGCCCGCTTCGTTTTACGCACTCGTTCACCGGGCCGGCGTTGTCGCGACGCGGTTGTGGTTGGTGTTGGTGTTGGTGGTGTTGGTGGTGGTGGTTGTTGTCGGCGTAGGTGGGCGCCAGTCTGTGTCACCGCGCGCTGTGGATTTTGCTCCTGGATTTCCGAAACAAATCGTGCTCCCAGTGCGGTTCTAGAGTTGGATAGCCGGGATATCTGTGAAATTCCTAATCGGAATCGTTCGATATTTTATTTCTCTCCTTCAATTGTAACATTTTTCTCGGCCTTTGGGTAGATCACTGGGAAAAAAAAAAAACACATTGGATCCAGAGTCCAGACTCTTGAAAACATTGACAAGAAAAAATACTCTTGATTCAATCGGATTTTTGCTTGAATCAAAACGAAATCCGCTTAAATTAAGAGGCTTGGTTCTTGATTTAAGCTAGATTCTGATTGGATCAGGAGTACTTTTTCTTGTCGATGTTTTTAAGAGTCTGGACTCTAGATCCAATGTGTTTTTCTTCCAGTGTTGGGTAGATCCTCAAATTTGGCGCAATGAGAATTCGCACGCTAATTTGTGTGTTGCTTTGTCTGGCAGTGCTTAAAGAGCTGATTTCGAGTGTTTTTTTTTTTTTTATATATTTTTTTTCTGATATGGGATGATAGTGAAAAAACAGACTTTTTTTGGCATCTTTATATTTGTTACATGCAACTTGGAACCTACCCATATAGAGGGCAGGCCTTAATGCTGATTATTTACATTCTAGAGGGAACAATTGGACGTATTTCTATCAAACGGAGCTATGTACATTGTTACGTGAGCCCTGTTATGCATATATTCTTATGGATCTCAGGGCTCATGTCTAAATGCACATAGTTCCGTTTGGCAGAAATACGTCCAATTATGTTTTACCTGTCGCTCCGGAACGGGCATCCGAGCTAAGTGTAGTTGAATTTTTTTTTCTCCTTCTTTAAACTATTTCTTAAATATGTGTAATAAAAATAGATTTAGAATGAGAAAATGTATCGCCTAGTGACGTCATCAGGCGGCATTATCAATTTAAACACATGTATTTTAGCAGATCAAACCATTTTGTCATATCTCCTCCCAAAATTGTTCACTTTATGAATTAAGGGTGTCCTCGGGTTCAGTTCACTCGGGAGTTTCCACTTGAACACGAAATTCATCAACTTTCAGACATCTGCAAATTTTCCATTCAATCTGGGTGAGATCGATTTATTTAAAATTCTTACCATTAGATGGACTGTTTTGGAAAAATCGTCATTTCAGTCTCCAGACCTATCACTGAAGAATTTTTGTGCTGAAAATCATTTGCCAAAATCCGAAAGTAAAGTCAGAAGTATTGTTTCCACACTGAGGAAAAGGTATGGCAAATTATACCGGAAGTATGGTAAAGTCCATCATTATTTAGTCTACTTGATTTTTGACACAGTGATACTTTAGTGTAAGGATAACCAGAATTCTCGATGCACTTACCGTGCTTTCGTTGAATTTGATTGCAGATTTACTGTCTTTGCTACCATAGAGTCTGTTCGTAATTACCATATTCACAAAACGGTCGCATAAACCATACTTTTAAAAGGTGCAATTAACAATTGAAATTGGTTGCGAGTTGGACGGTATATTTGACTTTATTTTTCAGATTCTCGAAAATTATTTTTTGCACGAAAGATTGATCTAAAGACTGATTTTTATATTTCACCAAAATAATTTACCTGGCGGCTAAAATTTAAGATTTCTCGATCGTACTCAGATTTCGCGCCAAATCTAAGGATCTACCTTCACGATGCTAGCTACTTCCTTAGCTATAGCTTATGACCAAAATAGAGTCACTATATTTGTATTATAAAGTAGAGAACTTCTATGAAGTAACAACACTGGGCTCCTATAGAGACCTTTAGGACCCAGAATAAATGATGATGGCATTAATTGGAGAGGGTTGTTTCCAACTAACGACAGCCACTTCTTGCCTTTGTTACCAGCTTTGGTGAGTTTTTCATGGGAGAAATTAAAGAGAAATTGGGAAGAACTATCCAAATGACAGTTTAAAAATATTGCAATGAGAGTTTGAAAGCGGGCTACATTTAAAAATAGTATACCTTCCATACTTCCAAAATAATTTTCATTAGTTTTCTGGGGAGATAGACGGGGCAGAGTCAAGAGGTCCTTGGCCGGATTAGCGCTTATAGGGGTGCTGGCGGATATAAGGTCCCGCACATTGCGGGTTGTATATTTCGTAAATTGAAGGCGGTCATCTTTTCCATAAAAAAGAGTTTCCGATGCCTTCCTTTGGACCTCTAAATCCTAAACTTTAAGGGTCCTATGATCCTCCAAATTCCAGTTTCAGAACCCCTCATATTCTTCAAAATCTCCAAGACTTCAAGGGCCCTTAAATATTTGATTGGACCACTTGCAGAGAAAAAAAAAATTGAAAATAGTAATTTAAAAAACCGTTCCAGAGGGCCCCACTCCGGCTAGTCCGGCCCTGGAGAAGACTCTTCGAACAAGCACCGTTTTATGGCTTGAGATGACAAAATAATCTTTCTCTAAATTTCAACCCTGGTGGGGGCAAGGATCACTTCTAAAGTCATATTGAGAAATTTGAGATTCATAGGATTCCTTCACATTTAATTTTCGCTCAAATTAGTTATTGTGTGTCTTTGTAAATGTTAACAATTTTCTTTCGGTTCTATCGGTGAAGTGACTATTTCTTACTATCATTGCGCGGTGTCCACGAGGCCGCTGAAAAATCCGTAACCGGCGGATAGTGTCGACGAAATTTTGCCAGCCCCAAAAGTGAAGTGCGCTTTAGAACTGTCGGTGAGTGGTGGATTTTCTGTGAGCAGTGACCGATGCGGGGTGAGGTGGGTTTCGATGACACCCCGAACATGAACGTGTTTCTGTTGGAGCTGTGGCTGACCGTCCGGATTTACTTTTTCAAGATCAAATTGGCACTAGAGCACTATAGTCGCCAGTTTACCGATCATGTAAGTAACCGCTCATTTTAAAATTGCAACGACAATTTTCGCCGAACCGGTTTTGGTTTTTTTGACACTTCGTGTTAATGACTGAGAAAAATTGAGTCATTGTCTTTCGCGTAGAAGTGCCGGTTTTTAATGCTCATAATGTGTCCAGACGAGGAGTATACGATTGACGGAAATTGTGAAAAACCAGCTACTACGCCGCCGTGCTATGGAAGAACGCCGTATGAGTCCTCAGGCGTTGTCAAATTTCCTTTGATAAAATACTGATTTTTGGGAAACTTTTGAATATTTTCCTCCAATATTTGAGAGTATTTTATTTTCGATTTAATCTAAAGTAGCTGAAAACTTCAAGAAATGGTACTCATAAATTTCCTCAAAGATAATCCTTTAATCATAAGAAATCTGGCAACTCTTTAGTGTCCTTACGGCGTTTTTCCTTAGTACGGCAGAACAAGTGTAATTCTAGATGTAATTCAAGAGCGAGTTCATATAAACGAAGTATAACCCCCCTCTGACTCATCGTAAGTGGGTGATTTCACGATAACAGGAATAGTTAAAATGTGAAATACCTTAAAAATAAAAGTGCACCAATTTTAACAGGATTTCATTACCTCATTTTAAAGGTATTGAACCTCCTTTTTCCAGCTTTGGCACGCTCTCTTTTGATTCAGTGCAAAGTTAAAGTGATTGATAAACAAGCCATTGAATCAGGTATCAGCGCTTCCCGCGGGACTGCTGGAGGTCCACGCAAACATGGCGGCCCTGCCATATTGTGTCGGTTACGTAACAGACGCAGCGTAACCGACACTTGAAAATGTGAGATAAAAGATGATACAAAAGATGAAACTTGGCAATTCTTGAGTTATGAGGTGGAATTGATGCTGCCTTAAAAGTTTTCTAAACTTTGGAGACTTCCTTTTAGTTTAATAATATTAAATTGAGGTTTTTGCGTAGTGAGGAATTAGTGCTACACACCTAAAAATCACTGGTTTTCATAATAATTAAAGTTTTCATTGTAAAAAAAACTGACTTATCAGTAATGGTTTTGTCGAGAAGACTTCAGCGAACAATTTGATGGCAATTTTGAAACTCCTGACTCCGTCTGGCGAGATAAACACTGCACTCAATACAACTGCAAAAATTTGTTGCCAAATGTGGCGACACCTCTTTCTAATGACTTTTCTCGCTCAATAATAAACATTTCAGTTCAAACTGGCAATTTTCTTGAACATTAGAGTCTCTTTTCAGCAAATATTGCCAAAGAGTTCATGATCAGTACTGATTTGTTACCGCAAATTGCTCTTTTGCTTCAAAATCGGGGTTGGCGACGCGTAACCGACCGGACATTTTCGGCCTTTAAAGTCTCATATTATGAAATATGATAATAATTTATCATATTTTTTAGCGTGGATAGGTTCAGGGACATCATTCCTATTGATTTATTCATTTGGTTTTCAATCGTTTTGCCCTATATCGTTCATAACCCACGGCGACACGACTATTCCTCTTATCGTGAAATCACCCAAATACTTAACGCGCGAAGGTAATTTTCGGAATCCGACCAAAGGAATTCTTGCGCGCCACTTAGATTTGCGATTATCTCTTTTGAACCATTGGAATTCCTTTTAAATATGTTGTGACAGAAAATTCAGGGAAACGTAAAATGCGCTTGGTCAATAACTAGGGATACGACCGTTCAGACGAAAGGAACCGAGTATTGCCTAATCGTTTGAGTATGAAGGGGATTTAAACCCTAGTTTCATTTGGCACTTGCAAACACCGCGAAAAACACGACGATTCTGCCCTTGGTTTTCTCTGAAAATAATTGCCAAGCCCAACAATAGCCTCCAAAGTTCAGGCTTAAACGGGGAAGATCTCTTATGTGTCCTGCGAGAGAGTCTACCTTAAAGTCAGTCGAATTTTCGATGCACAGATAGGGAGCAAATGCATTGACAGGGTTGCAGAGGCTGCAGCAATTGAGTCCCCACAAAAATGGTAATCCCCTCTGTTATGGCCTCAACTTATCACAGAGCTTTTATTTAGCATGGGCTTTTTTGTCAGAGAAAACCAGTGGCAAATCATTCAAATCCCTTCAACATGCTAGAACTCCATTCGGGACGAAGGAATTGTTCTTGCCTTTTCGCCAAATTGAAAGAAAACGACGCTTTGTGCCATATAACACCAGAGTGTTAATCCCATTCACGATTCAAATGACGAGGTATTACATACATAGCCTCTTGAGTCTGAATGGTCCCATCCTCAGACATTGACCTATGCGCACTTTAAGTTTTCCTAAAATTCCTGCGGCAGCATATTTAAGATGAATTCCAATTGGTCCAAAGAGGACATTTTTCCCGTGGAATGGTCCTAATGTGCACATGGAGGGATTTGATGATAAAACTTGATGTAATATTGGATGCGATGATTTAAGGTCTATTCATGTAATCAGACTGTTTACATTTGCGTTCATTTTTTTGCTCTCTCGCAAAAGTGACAAAATGGGTTGAATATAATTTTCAAATGTTTTTTCAAAGGTATTGCATCTCAATGGATCCTGACTCTTCTTCAATTTCAAAGAAATGACGGGAGGGATTCGGGTTTATATTATCCCATTATGAGGCACGCGTCGTCCTGTAGTCACCAGCCGAAAACGCCCTCAGTTTTGCGCGGTACTTCACAGCTCACACCAGGGTTAAAATATATGTATCATGAATTGCCTTGCAAAATCCTTCGCTTTCCGAATATTTCTGAAAAATATTGCCCCACTTGCTGTCGGAAAAACCTGAATGGAAACTATTAGCATTATTAATATTCGATGAATATCAATGATTCAAATTAAAATAAGTGGAAGTCCAAGACGAAATCGTCAAAGTCTATAGAGAAGGCCAAAGTTAACACGAAGCGACCAACTTATCTGGCTATCGTTACGAGTAAGATACTTCAGGTTCAAATGAAACTTTTTGCCCATCTTACCAGGTCCTGAAGAGAGACCTTGATGATGGTAGGATGGACGGAATTTCCTTCACGAATTGGAATAAAATAAAGTGATAATAAAAACAAACATTTTTTACGACGCAGAAGTACCCGTTCATCATCAATTTCTTTCTTCGTTAAACAATCCAAGTGGTGATATTTAATGACTAACACCGTTAAAATCGAGGCTATTAACTCAATATAATACCTATTACGACACTGTTTAGATGTTTTTTCTCCATTTAAATTAACGTTTTGGTCTAAGTAAACCAATGATAAAATATCGTTTTTTGAATGACCACAACTTGATGAGCACGTTGAACGGCCGTGGAAGTGAGTCAAAATCGAATTAAGCTTTTTTTTATCGCCGATATTGCCGGGCTAAGGCAAAACGCCGTGAGAACATTCAAATATTTATAAATTTTCCCGATGAATTACTTATTTTTAACGGAAGTTTTGAGTTTTTTTTTCTTCAAAATTTTCGGATGCTTCATGTCGAATTGCGAATAAATTTTTTGTAAAAATGAGTAGAAAATATTCACCGAAAATCACGAAAATTTACGAGTGTAATTTTATTTATAGTAGGAAATTCTGCAACGCCTAAAGGTCCTTATAACGTTTTTCCTTAGGATCATAAAATGAGTTTGCGCTTTAAATTGACATGATTTTGTCGCCTGTCGATGGTTTTGACCTTCTGAAGCACGTTCAAACGCTATTGCAACAAGTAGTCTGAGTGTTGACGAGATTGATATCACTTCCATCAACTCTGATGACATTGATGGGTATATGTCGGGCATGGGAACGAAAAAAAATGTACGGCAATTTGTGCGCCTGTGCTCCCTGAATAAATGTACCTATCATTCTAACCGAATCGTGTAACGTTTTTTTCTGCGGGGCCCGGCCAGTGCACAATTCGTCAGAATTTCTGTTACCTTCAGTGCGCCGTGTTAAGAACGCCGTATGAGCCACCAAGCGTTGCCGCAAATTTCTTTCGGAAAATCATGAATTTTAAGGAAAATTTGTAAATATTCCTCTCCCGATTTTTCAGAGGATTCCGTTCGTAATTTAATCTAAAAAGTCTGAAAATTTTAAGGAAAAATATTTATAATTTTTTTTCAAAAATTACTATTTGCTGAGAGGAAATTTGGCGACCTTATACTCTTACGGCGTTTTTACTTAGCAAGTTAGTTCAGCCGTGTGAGGCTGTGAGGTCACACGGAGGGTAAAAAATTGAAAAGCCCCCCTATTACTACCTGATCTGCAATCGTTGTGGAATTCCCAAAAGTAAACTTCCACCGTTCATCTTGTTGTTCAATGCATAATTTTTACAAGGAAATATCGGCGTTTTACTCATAAAAATCGCCTTTCGATAGAATATGATGAAGCTTTAAGATGTGTTACGTGTTTTATTTTTCTGAGTGATATACGAGCACTCTGAAATGGCACCTACCGTTTGGGAGGTGGGCTTTTTTGATGATTAATGGAAAAAAGGACACAACCGGTCGCTCGAGTTTAGGACGTGATCATATTTTTACCTCAACTTTCTGTGGATAGGAATACCTAATTTTCTTTTTTCGCGCATGCATCATTTTTGAGCTTTAAAAAAAACCCTCTATGAATTATAAAGGGTGTGAGGCTCTATTTCTGCTACGTTTTGCATGTTCAATTTTCCATTTTTCTTTTTTTTTATCTTTACAATGGTATTACTAAAAATCTCTCAAGGAGAGCCTGCGCTGCTGAATCTGAAAACAAACTGAAGGAAATCAGTGAACGGTATCCGAAGGATTTTCGGAGGCAAAATACACGAAGGCGAGTTCCGGAGGAGATGCATACACTCATAATCGTTACCAATTAACAAGTTAAGTTGAAAAGAATATTCATTTTGACCGAGGAATGAATTGAGAAAGGTCAGGCGTTGGTCGTCAGTCGAAACACACCGGTGCCAAGTTGTGGGAAGAATATAACACACTTGATTCAATTTTTAGTTTAGTTATCAATTCCATCTTATTAGGTAACACCCCGCGATTGCA